GAGATATGTCTGATTTCTCTCTGAGCCGACCTTCATTAAATAATAATTATTGTTACATTGGTGTTAATAAATTGATAAACAGTCATAACTTCCCTCCACATCTTCAGTATTACAGATTTGTTTCTTCAGAATACTGGACAGAATCGCCTCAAGGGACGTTTTGTTTCTTGCTCGTGTCTCTGCTCACCCCCTTCCCCACTTTGTACAGCGCGAAAAGCGTGCGAGCCGCGTACCTGCCCACCTAAGCTCTTGAATGGGAAAAGCACAAACGGGAAAGTTGCTGCAGCTTATGACCTGACGGTAGCCTCTTCTGCTTTCTGGACGTGCGAGGCACGGCTGTATAGAAAAATTGGCAAAAACATGCGGCTGCCAAATTTCCAAAACAAGAACAAGTACTCTCAGACATGGGTTGCGAGTGAAGCTAAAGATCCTGCATTTCCATTTTGATTTCCGCAAAAATATGTGAATTTCCGCAAACATACCAGTTATAGGATGTGGCGTTAACGGCTACATAAACCTTAATTTCAACAATTCGACCCGACTTCTTTTTCAATGCTTTTAATTCCTGACCTATCATTCCGAAGAAGTTTATTATTAGTAAGCTGTGGACTTACAGGCACGAAAAACTGTAGAAATAGTGAGACAAAATGTGGATTTAAAAATGAATTTGATGTATATATTTGCCAGATTTATGTAATTATTATAAAATATTGTATAGTATCACACATACATTACAAAAATAATGAGCAATATATTAAACGTTTTTAAACCAGAAATTTTATGATGGGCCCTTCATATATTTGGATTTGCTCTTGGTTTCGTTTCAGTCCGGGTGGATCCGCCCCTGGCTACATTTCAGTTATATTTGAAATTTTCGAGTAATGCTGCGTAAGAGAGCATTTACGTTAAAAATAGATGCCAATAGATAGCCGCCAAGAGGAAGCTGAGACAGAGATTTGTAATTCTTGTCAAGGGTGGCAGGGCTATTTGGAGCGGGTTTGGGGCTTAGTAGCGGACCGGAGAGTGGCATGGGGCAGCTGTAGTCGCAGGTATAGAATTCCTGGAACGCGTGTACTGAGAAAAAGTCAGTGTCAAACTTCGTTGCCACACTTGTGAAACTATCGTAGGTGGAAAAATTCAAGTGGCAATGAGCAGAAAGGTTTAGGATCTAAATAAGTTTATGCTCATAAATGGAACACTAACTACTTATATAGAATACTTGGTTTAATACTAATTAATGTTCTAGTGATATAGCGATTATTATAAAAACAATATAAGTAATAACACTAATAATAACACTAATAATAATAATAATAATAATAATAATAATAATAATAATAATAATAATAATAGCAGGCATTGACTCATCAAGCGACTTGAAGACACAACAGAATTAGCATTAAAGAAGAAGAATATTAATAGGTTGCATTATCTTCTATTGAAATGTGTAGAACATTCTGCGTTTTGTTTTCCTTGGTTGACGGTATCAACATTGTCGCCCTTCACGCTACGCCACTGCTGAGAAGTATGTTACGAAATATCCAGTGGGTCAATAGATAAAAAGACAGGATGGAATTATTAATCACCATCTCGGGCATTAAATATTTCTTTTGTAAAATGAAAAGAAAAAACTTCTGTTATTGGTCTCCCTTTTTTTAAAAACAATAATATTGTTTTCGCCTCTCCTTCAACAAAAGATACCCCCGAATAACATGGGAAAAAGTTCCCCTAAACCAAATGACGTATGAATAAGTACACTGTCACTCTAACATAAAAATAATATTTCTGATAGATTTCTTAGCCCCTGATCCCACATCCATATACAGCCAAAAACACGTTTTTCTTAATTTTTTATTAGTTTAACACTATTTTATCTGTTTGAAAAAATATGAAAAACAAGGAAATAATTCATACTACCAGTAACACATTTTTGATATTTTCTCAGCAACAAATTCTAACTTGAAAAAAATAACAAAAAATATTTTTGAATGTGCCTTATAACCATGTAACATGCTAAAAAAAGCTCAGAAGTTCCTTTTAAAACACAAATTGTTGTGGATTTATTACAGATTTTTTCGATTGTTGGGTTGCAGTTAAAAAGATAAACATTTTTACAATTTTCCCGGCATTAAGTCACCTTGTCTTCAAATACTTTGAAAAAATCAGTTCTGTGCATTTATTTTAGGGTTTATTATACAGTTGTTACATTGTTGTAACACAAAGTAATATTTTGACGTTGTCGTATGTAACAAATTTTCATGTTTTTAAAGCTTTTTAATTCTTTGTATATCATACGCTAAGGAAAGAAGATATGTTTGTGAGAAAAGAATTCTGTTGACTCGCAACGACTCCAGGGGCCCTTTCTAACAGCTATGGAAGGTGTCGAAATGACATAAGCAAAATACATAGAAGTCCCCGGGCCCCGCAAAAAATACAAAATACTCGAAAACATTGTCATAAAATGGTTGTATCAGTAAAATAACTGTTAATCAGTTCACTGCACTAAAATGTTTGTAGTTTATTATTTAAAATTAGTTTTTTTAAATATGTAATTAACGTTAAATTATTCTAAATTAACGCATATTCATTTTTACAACTGAATGTATTTTGTTTATGCTAACTTCAAATGTAGTAATGCACGTATAAGAATGAGTTCACGGAGTGTTAACGATAAATTGGTAACTATATTAAAGCGATTTGGTATGTTTTTTTTAGATGAATCTTATTGCTGGCAGTAAGAATTCAATTTGAAAAGAAGTCGCGAATCTTCTTGGCATGTAGGTTTACGCGAAATTGACGTATAGTAACGAGAAATCTAATAAAGGAAAGTGGAGATCTCTACGTTTATTTGCGAAGAAGAAATGGATATTATTCTTTAGTTTAGTCAAATTATCATAAATCATATTTTCTAATTCCAATCGCTCAAAAACTTCTGTCAAAGGAAAAGAAGAGAAATAGATCTACTGTTTATTTTAAACCCCTTAAACACTAATTTATTTCAGTAACAATGATTGGCTGAGTTGAAGATACTTCGACGCATTTGCTCTTGCACTTGTCTAGGCCACGGACGTGAATACAACGTAGAGTTCGCGAGCCCTTCAGCGTAAGAACAGAAGAGTCGGTAATTTCAGAGTGAGACATATTCTGTTGTCAACCAAGGGTCATTTTGTACTGAGATTTAATATTCTCAGCCATTCTCATTTTAAAAAAGCGATTCCGTATTTATAACCTAATTTTTCGCTCTAATCATAATGCTACACTAATTACTTGTTTCTTTTATTTATTGTTCTACCCTTGTAAATTAAGTAACAAAATAAATCAAATTTTCAACAACCATATCTTACTTCTAACGTAATTTCCAAGTTTGGGCTCAATAGCTTCTAATAAGCTCTAAAGATTCAAAAGCATCCACACATTCTCGTGCAGATCGACATCCCCGATTTTCGCTTCCAAAATTGCATGCATCTACACACCACTTTCACCGACCATAACTAGGACAACACGTACAGACCTTGATTCTGGCGTGAGTGTGACATTAGGTCGAAAAACCTTAAACGCGGATTTTATGACCATACAGCATTCGAGGCCGAATTGCTTAGGCGATTCCAATACTTTAATGTGAAAATACATTAAAAATCTTCACTCTAAAGGTCTATTGACGTATGTAATAAATATGTTAACTACATTTAACGATGTGTTCCTAGAGTAAAAAAACATTTGCCCTGTATGTCATTTTTAGTACTCGCGAAAAAACTTTGTTGTCCTTGTTATTATGAACTTGTTAAATACATCGGAAACATTGAAATATTACCCCTGTACTGTACAGAATGCGTTTCTGTAAGAGCATTTTGTTTGTTTCCTGAGATATATCTTTTGTTAAAAACACCATTCTGGATAATCTTATCCTTCGCGTTTCTTCCGAAAAAAATGTACTATTGCAAAACAGGCCTTGCAGTATGTTAGAGACTGCACCTTCCATGTTTTGTTCTTTTATGCTTCGAATATTTGTATTTCCAGGGAGGGGAAAAATACTTTGAAATATGAGACTGCACCTTCTATACTTTGTCCTGTTCTGAAACATTTGTATTCGAAAGACGAAAAAAATATGAAAATGTCTTTGCAATATGTGAGACAGCCCTATCAATATTTTGTTTTGTTCTAAAATATGTGTATTCCAAAGACAAAAAATGGAAATTCCATGCAGTGTGTGAAGAACTGCACATTCCATGATTTGTTCTATTCTGTTCTGAATGCTTGTGTTCCAAAGAGAAAAATATCTTGAAATGTGAGAGAGACTGCACCTTCATATTTTGTTCTGTTCTGGAACATTGGTGTTCCAAAAAAATATGAAAATGTGTGACAGCCCTTTCAATATTTTGTTTTGTTCTAAAATATGTCTTGGAATATGTGAGAGACTGCACCTTCGATATTTTGTTTTGTTCTGAAGCATTCGTATTCCAAAGACAAAAAATTACTTGAAATGCTTTGCAGTATGTGAGAGGTGAGAGACTGCACCTTCCATTTGTGTGTGTGTGTGTTATTGAAGGTCGCATCATGGTCTAGGTCATTAGCGGTCACTATTGCATTTAACGTTATGGTAACTATGAAGATGACATGATTTGGTGTTGATAGGGAGTGAAAAATGAACACAAATACAACCATGCCAGAAGCAGGACTCAAACTCGCTATCCTTCAGTTCGAGATCGCTACGACATTTCTGCCTGAACGATCTCGGCTATCCGGGCGACTTCCAAGTGTTCTATTCTGTTCTGCATGTTTGTATTCCGTAGGGACAAATATCTTGAAATATGAGAGAGATTGCACCTATATTTTGTTCTGTTCTGAAACATTGGTGTACAAAAAAAATGTCTTGGAATATGTGAGAGACTGCACCCTCGATATTGTGTTTTGTTCTAATACATTGGTGTTCCAAAAGCGAAAGCCAAAAAAAAAGTCTTGCAATAAGTGAGAGACTGCACCTTCGATGTTTTGTTCAACAGAAAAGGGGCGGATGAAGCAAAAGAAATGTTCCAACAGGCGGTTTCTCAATATAAAGACGATCTTGCCAACATGACGGACGACATCCACGGCATTACAGTAAGTGGTCGTATTTGACGAATTTGAGAACGTGCACTATTTCGCGAGCTTGTTAATGCTTCGTTTGTTTTTCTAACATGGTGTAGTTTCACATCACTTTTCTTTCGAAAAGGAGAGGTTTGAAGCTGCAACGTTGCCATTGCACGTGATTTGCATGAAGTTGTGCCTTTTTAACATGATTAGCGCGTATTGTCTGCGAATGTTTTTCTTGGGCTCCAGAAACCCTACTTCCTTTTTCCATTTCTAGTTTAATTGTAAATAAGAGGAACGAGAGTTGTTAGCAATATTTGATAACATGTTTGCTCCTGTGTAACTGACCCAGCAAACAAGCAATAGGTTTCAATTAACTGTGCTGCTGATGAAAGTATTACTCCACTCTTCTTATATTTAGAAATATGAGAGCCCAAGAAAACGTGCGTATATTGTAATTAGATGTTTTATATTTTAACATTGTAGAACATTGCATGCATTGTAGAACTTTATGTAGTGAGAATGGTATTTCTGTGTAGCATGTTAGCATTATGTGTGTATGTATTATTCGAGCCGTCGAGTAGCCAAGGGGGATAAGATTTTTTCCAGCTCTCAGAAAATGAAGTTGAGTTTATGGTGTTTTATTTCTAGATAAAAATGTTCATTGTTCTGGTGATGTCCTCTCCTATCACGTACTTGGCCACACATTTCCGTGTTCCGAGTACATTTCTATATTTAACTCAAAAATTTCACGGGAAATGCTAAACGCAAATGGAAAACTGCCGGATTTGCATTCAAAATTTATTAAAGACAAGTTGCCAGTTGTAATACACTTGTACAGTGTCTGTAAAAAGTACTTCGCTGTACGAGAGAACGCAAATTAACACCTTGAGCCCTCGATGATTAATTTTGGTGCGGTGTTTCCGAGACATGTTTTTGTGACAGGTTTCGAAAGGTCTGCTAGCACACTGTACATGGAAACTTGTAGGAATCCTAGCTTATCCGTCACTATTATGACATTGAAGTTCTGGATTGGATGACAGCGTCACAGCCGATCAAATGTGAACGAAACTTAATGTTTCAACCGAAGTTTAGGGTAACTTCTATACACTACACTTAATTGTTTACCGGCTTAGGTGGCTCAGAGCATAAATTGATCACTGATAAATTGATTATGGGTTTCAAGTTTCGACCATGACAGGGTTTTCGTCACCAGCTAGTTAAATCGGAATTCGGCTGCTGTTTGGAAGATAATTCTAGCGACAGGCTGCTCTGGTCGGTAGTTTTCTTCGGTTTATCCGATCAAACCTCGAACAAATGATGGAGCACTACCTTCTCAAACTAGCTAGGGACTACGCGCAGTCTTCCTTAATCCATCTCACCCTTTCCATACTTACACTATGTGATCAAAAGTATTCGGACACGTGGCTGAAAATGACTAAAATTTTCGCCCTCCATCGGTAATGCTGGAATTCAATAGGGTGTTGACCCCACCCCTTAGCCTTGATGAAAGCTTCTACTCTTACAGGTATACTTTCAGTCAGGCGCTTGGAATGTTTCTTGGGGAATGGCAGCTCATTCTTCACGGAGTGCTGAACTGAGGAGAGGTATCGCTGTAGGTCGGTGAGGCCTGGCACTAAGTCTGCGTTCCAAAACCTCCCAAAGGATTCAAGACAGGGCTCAGTGCAGGCCAGTCCATTACAGGGATGTTATTTTCGTGTAACCACTCCGCCACAAGCCGTACTCGATCGTGTTGAAAGATGCAATCGCCATCCCCGAATTGCTCTTCAACAGTGGGAAGCAAAAAGGTGTTTAAAACATCAACGTTGGTCTGTGCCGTGATAGTGCCACACAAAGCAAAAATGGGTGCGAGCCATCTCCATGAAAAACACGACCACATCATAACACCTTTTTGGAAGTGTCTGGTTACTTTTGATCACATAGTGTACATGCACAACACTACCACACATGCCGGGAGCTTAGAGCTTGTCCCGGCTGGGGCGGTGCGCCGCTGGTGGGAGATACCTGGTTGGGAAATACCACCCAATTGACGCGAAGGTCGTCCCTAGATCTCGCCATCCATCTGGGAAGATCACCGCCTGCTCCCGCGCTAATAACATGCAGAACTAGTGACCTTATCTGTTGACCCAGGACCCCCCAATCAATCGATCAATCAAGGAAACAATTGTAGTAACCCCACTTTGCTTGCTTAGCAGCTCCAGCCGGGCGCAAAGTGCCCCGAAGACGAAGCCCCGTGAGTTGGTGGTGGCGGCGGTGGCGGTGACGCCGGAGGAGATGGCGGCGGCGGCGCCGGACCAGGATGCAGAGCAAGCCGAGCCGGCCAGTGCGCCCAAGGACGGCGCCCTGGCCCTGGGGCAGTTGGCGGACATCACGCTGGCGCGCCTCAACTCCTTCCGCTTCGACTCCACCGGCGCCGCCGCCGCCGTCGCCGACCCTCGCGAGGCCGAGGACGCGCCCGACTTCTACGATGTCTTTGACGACGACGACGCCGTCGTCTGACGCGCGACGGCGGGGAACGTTCGGTTTCAGTTTCAACGAGTCTTCCTTGGCAGCTCCAGACGGGCGCAAAGTGTTGTTTATTTGTTTTGTTGTAGTCAAACACAAGAACTCTGCAGTGATCTTTTGTTTCGTGTTTCTTTGAGACTGGTATGAAGCTTTCCAAGACACAGCCCGTCACCAAATCTGGAATATCAGTCGACATTTGGTGGATTTATGGGTTCGAAAGTACCTGATAACTTTCTTCGAACTTGTTTCCTTGTAGATTCCTCAAGGAAGAATGTACGTTTTCTCCTGAATTGTTCCCCTGTAATTTCTCTTTCATTCGGAAGATTTATTAGTTCGAAAAATGTTGATAATAAGCCAATTGTTTGAAGTTTTGGTACAATTTATACAGCCGTAAATTTAATTGTATGAAAATCTATTCATAATGTATACATTTTTCATGTGAAAGACATTACCTGTGTCTTTTATTTACTTGCGTCTTTCACTTAGTGTACGGAATGATATCAGACCATGTTAATCTATTGAGAGTAAATCAAATTTATTTTCTGTGAGATTCTGGCCTTCACAAAGTTCATGTTACTGACTGCCTTCTGAAAATGTACTTTTGTCAATTCAAAAACAAATTTCTATTGACAAATTTTCTTTGAAAAGTGTAAATATTGGTGGAGTGTTTAAATTTTATCAATAGTTTGTACGATAATGAAGTTTATAATAAAGTTTATCCTGAAACAATGTATAATATTAATTCGTTCATGATTTTTTTCCCATATCTGAAAAAAATTGATAATTTCTCTTAAACATTTCATAGCTAGGGTGCCCGGAAAGAGCTCGGTTCAAAAATGGAAAAAATGAGATTTCCCTGGAGGACTGTAAAGATGTCTTTGAACTTCCTATTCAACAATATGTCAAATTTTCGAAGTCCACTAGAATACTATGAATAGGAAATTTTGCACGGCGTAGATATACAGCGCTATCGATCTTCTGCCAATGCGCATCACATTTGTGGATCTGCGCATGCGCAGATGATCACATTGCCTCTACGCTATGCCGTGCAAAAGCTCCCCTTTAATAGTAAAGTCCACTTCTTCGCGGGAACTGGTAACGTGCTACGAAACAGGCGTGGCCGGATAGTTGAAAATATACCTGAGACTTCGTTTAAACGTTTCTCTGAAACTAGTAAATTAAAATAAAAAAAGTATATCTTACTGTAAAATAAATTACAATAAAAATTGAGGTAGTAAAAACAAAATTAACAATTCATTGATAACCTGTAAAGAAGTGAAATGAAATGAACGTCTCCGATGCTCATCCGTTTACTACTCATTTGAAAGTTGGTAGTGGTATTTTGTCTCGCTCGCTCTACAGCCGTTGTTACCCCAGGCCGACCTAAGACTGGAGACACACGAGCGCATTTTAACTGACGTTAAAAATGCTTCCGTTGCTAAGCATACAAATACGAATAAGGTATGGCATACGAGCGCGCTGCGCGACGTCCGTTGTTCTCTACTTGTGCCTGGTGTATTGACGTCCATGAAAATACGAACAGTATAACGTCCGTTACGCGATGCTAATGACCCCGCAGCCTTATCCCACGGACATTCTCGCCCTCTCAGATAGCCCTATCGTGACAGATTTAATTATTTTTTACACAATTTTGAAAAAAAAAACTTTGTTACTTCTTGGTTACTATTTCATTATTACTGCAAATTGTTAATATTTAATTTTTTAGAAAATGTTGTGACATTTGCCCATTGGTCTTGAGATATGATAAAATATAATAATGCAGAGAAGAAAATGATTTTTTCTTTACTTATGATGTTTATATACTCAGATGACGTAGCATTGGCCGATAAACCGGGAGAGGTGGCTCGGCATCAACTCCAGTGCCTCGGACTGGGAGGTCCTAGGTTTGAGTGCCGACGGAAGCAGGATTTTCGACACTAGCCAGATAACTAGTGCGCTCTGGAGGAGTATTCCAGCAGCCGGCAGCTCTGATCGGTAGTTTTCCATGATTTTTTTCGATCAGGCTAATGCTGGAGCCTCTTCCGTGTCCTATCCTCGCCCCTTATTTACACACACACTAACGTGCACTACACTCACACTTGCCGGGAGAGCGATCGGGAGCTTAGAACTTGTTGCGGCTCTGGGGGTGCCCCGCTGATGGGAGATACGTAGATAGGGAAACCACCCTAGCCGACGGTAGATCTCCATCCAGCGGGGAAAATCACAGTCACCTCTCGAGAAGGAAAAAAATTCTTTGAAAATGACCTAAAATGACTTACAAATAACGGAAAAATACCTACTTGTTTAAACAAATAGAAAAAATGTATTAATTGGTCTATTTATTCATTGAGTTATACAAAATTAAATAAAATGTATTTATATAAAATTATTTTTAATCGAATGTTATATTAATACAATTTTTATATTAATATTTATTTTAGGAGGAAACGTAATCCTAAGCTCCGATCTTCCAACCGTAATTTTGGGATTTCGAAAAATTTCCCTGCAGTCTTGAATTTCGTCATAAACTGATGATACAATAAAAGTTTGTTTTAGTTTGTCATTTTCAATTCATGAAACATTCCTAATCAGAAAAAACAAGAAAAGGAAACAAAATGCGCAAAAATGACGTAACGGTTCAGAAAATGGCAAAAATTGCCTAATAAACTATACATTTCTACCATCTATATGAGAGAAATATTAATTTGAAAGTTAGCTACGTCTAGAGTGCACCAATGAAAAGATGACAGGTCATCACAATCCGAGCCGTACTGATAAGCCATGGCGACTTAACTCCTGATGTTCTAACGGCTGAGAAAGTCTGGCCGACTCTACTCTCTGGCTGGTGACACCGCAGGCGGCCCCAGAACTGGGAACGCTTTCACAGCACCACTGCCCCCAGGTAACGTAACATTGATGAGGTAGGTACTCGAACATTCTAATTTCAAAACGCATTAAAAAGTAGTTTACTACGTACGTGTACAAAATACATTTGGGTATCCAGATGCTTCGGAATGGATTTGTGATTGCAACTCGCTGTAAAACAAGAAAATGTGTATATAACGTTTGATTGTGCATATACTAACACAATACTTATGAATTTAACACTGCACAGCAATGCATTCGCGCGCTAGCAAAAAAAACTGCTATTTTGAAAGGGGTGAGAGCTCATTTAAGTGGAATGATATCTCACACTTCCTTCGTTCATTATATTCTCTTAAAAACATAAATCTCGGCGAGTGTTATGTCTTAGAGATAGGTCAAAGTAATTGCAGAGATCGCAACTGCGTCTCTGCGCTTTAATATTCGTATCGGAGGTGCCCACGTTTCGGTCGCCATTCTGCGACCTTTCTCGGGCATTACGCCCTTGGATTTTGCCGCTAAATCCAAGGCAGTAGCTGAAAGGAGTAGAAGGATTGCCATCATGGCCCTCCACCAAAATAATAAGTGGTGATGAATATGATTCTGGGGATTCCATAACTACAGAAAGTGATTACATCTCTTAACTCAGATCATGACAGTGATTCAAACATTCCTGAAGATATGCTAATCGATTCTTCTGAAAATATTTCTGAAAGTAATTTTGAACTTTCAGAATTATACTTTGGGGGAAAATTCCAGTACGTGGTATTCATAACCAAAAGAACCTAATAAAAGAAAGAGACCTCCAGAAATATAAAATTAAAAATGCCTAACTGTATAGGACCAGAGTGTACGTTGGGTACTGATCCTGACCCAGAAAAGATATGGAGTTTACTCTTCAGTAACACAATTATAAATGAAATCATATCAAATACGAATTTTAAATTGGTACATCTGAGACTGAAGTTGCAAGATCCAAAATGTCCTTCACTTAAAGATACGAATGAAGATGAAATCAGAGCACTGATTGGTCCCATGATGCTTTGTGCAATTTTTAAGTCCGGTCACGAAAAATTAGAAAATTATTTTCAACTGACTTCAGTGGTCGCCAGTTTTTCGTGCGACCATGTCTCTCAACAGATGAGAAATTTTGATTGCTCTAAGATTTGATAATCCAGAAACACGGCAGGAAAGACGAAAAACTGGGTTTCATGGTTTCACTAAAGATTTCACATTGTTTCTTATGTTCTCAAAAAGACGAATCAGACGCCAACTACGCCCCATTCAGAGTTTACGAATGAGAAAACGGTAAACCGGAAATAATCTTTGTATAATGCTACAAAATCTAGAGTGGATACATTTGAGCAATGCAGCAATTATTCTTGCAATAGAAGAACAAGTAAGATATCCATTGCTATTTTCTACTTATCTCATCTCACTCGGTTGCTCGAATTTGTACTTCGTGTACATTAGCAAGCAATACAAAATGATTCGATTTGAATTTACCAAAAAATTAGGAATAGAAGTGCTAAAAAACATTTACAAAATTGATTAAAGATACCAATTTACAAGATTATTTGAAAAAAAAATGTTTATGCATTATTAGAGAGCAGGGATCAATTAAGTGACGAATTAAAAAACGCCCTTATTGTTCTTACACTGAAAACAGAATGACAGCATACAAATGCAATAAATGTGAAACACCTAATTGTTTAGAATGTTAAAAGAACTTTGTAAAGTATGTGTAGACAATATGTAAATTGAAAAATGCTGTTTTTTGTCATTTGAATTACTTTCTCCAATTGTGTAGATAAATGTATGTAAAAAAACTGTCTATTTTTATATCTTAAAATTTGTTAATAAATTACATATGCTGCAGAAATTAGTAAATAAATTGTTTCATTTTAAAAGTTCATTCCCTTTGTGTAGTTTCATTAATATCTGTCTCTGAGACAGATGTTACTACAAGCGTTAAAAAAAAAGATTTTACAATTTAAGAGTAAGGTACTCAATTGCCCAATTCCAGCGCACCTATTGCTAGAAGGCTTCAAATCTAGAAATTAAATAACAAAATCTTAATAAAAATAACTCAAATATTAATGAAAGTTAAAGTAACAATTTCTGAAAATAATTGATAAATTAATTAAAATATTATTGTTCCTTAAAGTGCCATTTTTGAATATTCTTTCCTATGCGTGAGTTCTTATGAGAATGAAGGAAGCAAGAAAGAATGAGAGAATATTCTAGAAATTTCAATAGCTAAACTGTCGCTCCTATTTCAACATACTTCTATTTCGAAATGTTAGTAGTCTTTATTCAAGAATTACCCTAATAGAAGTTGTATACGTTTTTGTGAGAAGTGAGTGCGATATATCCCTTGTTTGCATCACTAATAATATTTTGAAACTAAATATTATCATTTAGGATGAGGGATGTCTGGGGACTTCCCACATTTAAAATTCCCTCTCAATGACTTGAAATTATGCCTAAATATTTATTGGTTGGAAGGGGAAAAATGCGCAATTGCGTGCCAATGAGCTTTCCTTTATCCTTGACATTCCATAACGCTCTGATTCCTATGAACAATTGAGGAAATGAGACCCGTGCTAAAGTGAAAGTTTGTAGCTAATGGGTAAATACCTAGAAGCACTGCAGTTTCTATTGAAGATTAAATTACTTGTACATACGCTGTGTATTTATTGATTGCGAGTGTGCTAAATAAAGGATTCAGTAAAATTATTTTAATGATAGATTACAAATAGAGTTTATTTTTGTTTTAATACATTTTACAAACTTTGTTGGCGAAAATTTCTTTCATATTTACGCTTGCAAATATTCATTTCATTATTTTCATATATGTCCTACAGAGGCGCTGCGTAATCCAACCTTACTCCGATTAAAACGAACGATAAATTGACAGAAATCTGGTGGAAAGCAGTTATCCAATCGAAAGCTTCGTTACAACTTAATTTTTGATATTGACAATTTTGATTGGATAAGAACGTCCCAGCTGATCAATGTAAGGTCGGTGTTTATTTTAATCTGAGTGTACCGAGTGTACCTGGCATGCGCTTGCATGCCAGAGGGGCAGCACCAGAGAGCAGCACGTTGTTGAATGTAAAATACAAAGGCAGTGGCCTGGAATTGTTTTCAGACAAAAATTGTTGCATTGTGTGCACCATATTTCCATGTGATATAATTCTTGTGCATAATGTAGAAAAAAATAACGTGTGTTAAATCGAGCATTCGTAGCAATGAAAGTTTGTATATTTCCTTCTTGTGTGAAATCAGAGGAACGAACGCCAGAAAAATCATTTTTCAAAGAACCAGATGAAAGAAGTTTGCCAAAGGGATGTGACCGGCAGGTTAAAATTGCCAGCAATTCCTCCCAAAATGCCCTTGAGAGTGAAGATAATTCCAGCGTAAGTTTAATGTGTTTGTTGGGTTATGTATCCTGTTCATTTAGAGGGCTTTTGCTACTAGCTTCTTTGTAGAATACATCCATGACAAATTTTTGTGCCCATGAAGTAGAATGACAATTAATTATTATTCAAGCGTTTTGTCGTGAATTTGTGTGAAATGGATTCCTGGAAGAATTGATATAAGTAATAAGTGAGAAATGTGGTTTCTCAGCTGTTCTTTTTAGCCACCTTTGACCTCTTTTATACTTCAGTGAGATCAAAACTTATTTTTTATTAATTTAATTACATATAGACTTTTTTTGACATATTTTTATAAATATTAACATTTATTGAACCACTTGAAGAGGATCACCAAATTAAAAGGAAAGCTGCAAAGAAATCTAAAATGAGAAAACATTTTATTTTATAGAGCGGGAAGGTCTGGATTTGGATTAATACCATGCAATATCTGAAAACCTAGTTCATTTGAATCAGGTTTAAAATATGCATGGCTTTTTAACATTGCTCAGTTTAATGTATTTTTTCCTCAACGTTTAAATCCTGAATTTTGTTTAATGAAAAAATTGATTTTAAATTTCATTTTATGTTAGCTAAAGGGGAGCTATCTTAATTTATTGGAAGTGAAATTAAATCTTAAGGCAAGTTAGTTTGTGAAGGACCAGGACTAGATAAAAATATTTCAGCTTCAGTGATATTTAGAGATATCTTTATATCAAATTGGGCTTTATTCTCTATGACATCATTTCTGTGTGATTAAGTACAATGCAGTTATGCCAGCACAATGTTTTTTAACATTCTGTCACATTATTTCTATGACAACGTTACTTTAAGCCACCAATTTGGCATAGAACACACTTACAGAGTAATCCTCTATTAAATTATACTTTATAATATATACATCTTTAGCCTGTAAGTTATGAAGAGGACAACCTGCTCATGAGCATTGCATTGACATGTGATGAGTAAAGTGCATCAAAGAATGTCTCTTATGCAAAGTAGTCAAAGAGCGCTTCGGTGGTTCTGCATAAGATATAGTGTTAATCTACGAATCCCATCAATGTAATGTTCGTGTGACACAGGCCTAATATGTGACCATAAAAATGCAATTCATTTCTGGTTTGTATCTTTCAGTTCAAGAAAGACTTGGATAATTACATGACAGGGGAGCAAACAAACACAACGCCACTTCTCAGTAAGGACTCTGTCGCGCATAATTTCCTAGGTTCAAAACAGGAGATTAATTCCCAGCAGTGTCTGGATATTCAGGAAGAGGCTGCAATGGAATCCAATTCCCAGGGTGAGATGAAAAACCAGTTAAAGAATAAAGTATAACTAAATTGGAAGGGATAGTGCCTTATAACAAAATTGAAGACATTCATATAACATAAAGAATTATATTGTAATTAAAGAAAATCACTTTTTAATGCTTTTCCGTAAAATCTCTTCATTTATTAGAAGAATAGATCAATATCACATTTCATAACCTCTGGTTACAGTTTCTGTAATGTACAAATAGCATTAATCAGACTAAACATGTTTAAATTATGGATTTAAATATGACAAAAAATTGCAATTAATGTTAATTCAGTCATTAAATGTGTCTTGTATAGTACTTTGTAGTTGTCTTTTACTTTGTTCTTAATAATGTTTTTTTGTTAATGTTGTCCCTGTCATTTGTTATATTTATTATTTAACTGAATACTCTAGCCTTCCTTGACCTTAATTATCGTTTGTTGTCCTATATAAAGCAGTATTTTTTATTCTGGTTAATGTTTTATTATTGCAGAAATTGAAGATGTAATCAATGAGATTACAAAATGCTGCTGCTTTAATATTGATGTATTCTTCAAAAGAATGATTGTCTTTAATTACGTAAGGATATAGTACCTCCTCCAATTCAATTTAAATAGGCAAACAGCTGTCGAAGAGTTTCACGTCTACATTTACACGAAAATATAATTATTGTGACAGTAGGAAAGAGTTGAAGTTCAAATGTTTTTTTGTGGAAGTGAACCATAGAGTATTGGTTGCTCTTTCATTCAAATAACTTCAGATGTCTTTCAAAGGGAATCGTGAATGACAGTAAATGCAGATAAATATTTAGCAAAAATAACCAAAGAAACCTCTCTTAAAGATAATTTTAAATGAAATTCGCAAATCGGAGTGCCCATTGTTTTTTAATATTTCAAATATGAATGTTTATTCTTGTTTTGTTTTTTTGTTTGCAGCTCTCCTTAAAGATAGAGTTAATGTCAACATACTTAAGAAGCCCTGTGGTAGTTACAGTCAAAAAAAGGTAAAATTATCTGTGACTAAAAACTGTCCAAAAGTAAAATATCTAGATTTGATTCTCTAAGATTGGTTTCAATTACTCTTGTTCTGCAACAACCCTTTACCCTTGTTCTTCAACAGCATTATGATATCCTATATGAATAATGAGTTTTCTTTTGCACATCATTCAGTAGCTTCAAAGCTTTCTCTTAGACTCCTCCCTATGCATTTATGCTGTATATTGCCAGAGCTGTAAAAGAATTCATAATAAGTCATTAACACTACAAGTGAATAATAGCTCTTACCTGCTATGTCATTTAATTTCACTACTTGTTTGTGACAAGTTAGAACAAGTTTTGACAACTTTCATTTATAAACAATTTCTCAACAGCCTTATTTGTAGAGTTTATTTAAGAGAGAGTTATAATATTTAAGTCTGTACCTGTGTGGAATTTGTAATACCATTTCTTTTTATAAAGTTGTCAACACTAATATTTGGAAAAATTAGATATTGGGAAAATTGACCAGTTTCTCTCTCTCTTGCTTTGACCTGATTTATGCATCAGAATTATGTCAACTTTTTTAAGCATTTGATTAAAATATATTTTTCAGTGCTAATGCAGGAAAACTAGTACTTATCTTCTTAAATTATTAATTGGAAAATGTTACTATGCTCAGTGTGTAAGACAATTATAGACTTTGACATATGCAGACCACAAGAACATCCTATAAAACAACTGGGTATTGCAAAGTAAATAAAACCCAGGGCAACATAAATCAACATGACTGCCTTCTGCATTTTGAAGATTATCGCGAGGGTATATATACTTAAACACACTGACACAATTCACACACACTAACACACATGTTGGGACTCCAGTCAGGAGTGTAGTGTTTGACCTTAGTGGGGTGGGGACTGGTGGAGATCCCTCATAAGCTGATGTGTAGGTTGGCACTGGATCTCACCACCCAACTGGGGAAGAACACTGCCCTCTTGCAGGGTAAAATGTTCTCTATACTGAAAGGACTAATTACCATTGTAGTTTATGTGTCTGGATACATCAGTCATTCAATGAAAGATATACAAAACACAGTCATTAGTAAAATTTGCAAGAATTTGCTTTAGTGAAAATATTTCTGCCCATTCACCACTCCTGCAACCTCCCTCCTGACATCACAGAAAATCCATGGGGTCACCTTTCTTTGAAAGGCAGTGACAGACTCAGAGTTTTCTGGGCATGGTGGGCCACTCCTGAAACCCTTTGTTCGAGCTCTGTGTTTTATCAGCAACACAGGCCAGAGGGCTGTGTCTTAACTTACACCCAGTTGTTTCAATGCCTGCCATGGAAATGTAGAGATGCCCACTGTCTATTTTCCTGTTCCATCTCCCGCAGTTCATTGTCTAAAATTAAACATTGCTTTATATCCCTTTAATTTTGAGTTCTTCAATTATGGTTTTGAGTGCCAAATCTATGACTAACATATGTCTTTTATCTGGATAATACAATGGGGGGGGGGGAGTACTTGTAATTTTGAGAAAATAAATAGACTACTTTTAACATGCTGGGCGCTAAAGTCTTTTCGGGCAATTTTGAAGATGGAGGCTGATGAATGAATTGTCCTTCCAGGATAAACAACGTGCAGCCTCCTTCAGCTGCCTGCTTTGCCAGAGCTTTTTTTCAAGTCAGGACTCTCTTGCAGCACATTTCAGCAAGTGTATCAAACATCTGGAATTCGCACATGGATCTTCATCAGGACCTGCAGCTACTTACAAGGAACCAGATGGTTTGGGGAAGGTGTGTAGAGAAAGCCTTGATTGAACACCTATTAATAAAGTTTTTTCTGCTGAGGTTTATTAGTATGGTTGAAAATAGAGTACTAAAAATGTGTGTCTTTTTCAGCTTGAGCCTCTCAAAATATATGATTGCAAAGTGTGTGCTGCGAAGTTCACCGTGAAAGGTACCTGTGAGAGACACAAGGCCAAATGCGAATACCAACATAAACAAGAAAACAAAGATCAGAAGTCAAACATTTCTCCCACGAAGGTGCGTTCATTTTATTTATTGATTTTGTGGGCCTTTCTTATTTGAAAATTTCAAAAATAAGTGTTCATGTATATTCCTTTCTTTCAAGAAAGCAAACGTGACATATTGAAATTTATTTAAGGGAGTTCTTAGAATTTGATTTGAATTGAATTGAATTGGTGCCTTATTTTACGTGGCGAGACTCAGGCCATGAGGCCTGGTCTTCCGTCTGACCACGCAAATTTTGCTACACTCCTTTCACCAACTAGCGGAGAAAGGAGGTTTTTTCTTGGGCGACGAAGCAGGCGATTTGAATTTAGCTCAGAGTGTTATACCCGCCAACTTGGGTATAACAGTCCGATACGCCAACCGTTACACCATCGCCGCCCATTTAAGTCTCAGTTTCATGGTTTTCAACTGTAGCTTCTTAGCTAGACCAGAAACATCTAATAATCAATCATTGAAATCAATTTTATTTGCTTTATTTATATTGCTTTTTCAGCCTGAACTTCCCATATTCTATTATTGCAATATTTGCTTTGTGGGGTTCGATGAGGAGCACGCTTGGGAATGCCACCTGGCCAAGTGTGAATACCATCCAAAAGAAGGAAAGAAGGATCAGGGCACCTTAACTACTTCTTTCACAAAGGTGGGTTTTGCAGGTATAATGACATGCATCAAGAATAATGTATCACGGTTTTTGTTATCTTTATGAGTCAATACTTGAGTGTTTTTTTTGTTAAAAAAGTGGATTAATAAAATGAGTATTGTAGTGGTAAAATCATTGTGAGCTTATTTGCATGACGTACACACTCACTGTAATATTTCAATTTTTTGTACATTCTCGATGTGTTTCGTAAGGAAATACCATATTTACTCACATTTTCCACAATTGTTTAGATTTTTGTTATGTCAGCAAATATTGTCATATTTAAAACCGCAACAAAAAGAGAACTAACATTTTTCTAGTCCTTAATTCTGTATTTACCTGTTCAGTGGAAATTAATGTGAATAATAGTTTTATGATAGCTCCCTTTTCTGAAATAGCATTTTATTGCAAGTACACTGTGAAAATTTTGTAAAGATTATTTAAGTACAGAAAAGCATAGTGGCCACATTCTAGAAAACCAGTATATGCCGTTGATCTGGAATAATTAGGGATCTTGTAGAAAAATTTTCAGAAATCTGATACATGGTGCCTTATTTTACGTGGCGAGACTCAGGCCATGAGGCCTACTCTTCCGTCTGAACACGCACATTTTGCTACGCTCCTTTCACCAACTAGCGGAGAAAGGAGGTTTTTTCTTGGGTGACGCCCAAATGCATTGAAGTTTATGAAAAATCATAATTTTAATTATGAGCTCTATAACATGCTAATTATCAAATATCTACAATACACAATGAAACAAATAGAAATTCAATAATTTTATCTAGCATATTCATGGCCATATTCATAGTCAACACTTATTTTCAAGGTACACGTGTGTATTTACTTATTTGCATTTTCAATTCATAGTTGTCTCATACGTGTTTGCTTCAGCATTCACTTATATATGTGAGCTTAAGTGAACCCTTATTTTTCAATGTAGTAAAACATCAAAGATGAGTTTTTGGAATTATTGAAATCAACATGGAAGATCACATATCAAAACGATATTTGAGAGACATGGATAATCCATTGGAAATGCATAGGTAACAAGAATTTTAAGAAGAGATCCTTTTGACAAGGATATTCTGTAAACATTAGAGTCACCGTTGCTCACTCATAACGTGGGCTTGAGGGCGACTGGACTTAACACATCGAAGCAACGAAACCAAATTTATAATTTATTTTCTGATAGTCTACCGATGAAACCAAATGCTATTTATATGCTTAAAAGAACCGCCAAAATTGTAAAAAAGCTGGACACTGCCTAGATTTGTATCTAGTAACCAATAAAGCAATGTTGCCAAATATTATATGGCAAAATATTGCCTGAGTGCAACTCTTGAATAAGTGGGGTCAATGAATACAAAACCGTCATAAGGGTTCACTTATTTTAAGTGAATGCTTATTACTTAAACGTTTACTTATCGTATAAGTGTCACTATGAATACAACCCTGAGTACATTTTGCGTTATTTCATCATATTTCCATTATATTTAAGTTATTATTCATATTTTATTGCTTCCTCGTTCTTAATGTGGCATATTTCTCTTGGAATTTCAATTAGTACCCATATTTCTCCCCTCAAACCAAAAAAATATTCTTCGTAAATGTAAATTCAAACGCCATACAAATCGAGAATGTGTATATTATGCAAGAATGAAAATTACACAAGTAAATAAGAAAGTCTCTCTTCCTTGAATTGAGGTAATATTGAATTAGGTAAATGTATGTTCACAGGACCCTTCCAAGGATGTTCTTCATGAGAAGGTGATAGAGGATGAGTCCTGGCTAGTCACATCACTTCCCCAAGGCTATGAGGTGAGGATGCTTGCAAAGGTGTATTTGTTGCTTGTAATTCTCATGGTTAAAAGGCAAAACCTTAACAAACCCAAATTTTAAATTTAAGAAAATAGGTTTGCAACCTATTGCACCTATGTTGATTAAGTAATTGGCTTGAAAATTCGATTTCTTCTTCTCCCCTATACTTGTTATTTTTGACAAATTGCTTGTTGGTAAGGGAGAAGAAATAAAAGGTATCTCTTGTTGTCAAAAAGTTCTAGAAACTAAATGTGCATCAAGTGATATATCATCATCATTTAAGAATGGAAATGCCATCTCCTTTCTAGTTTTCATATTTTTAATCAGAGAAATATTGTCTTTTTCAGTGTGTGGATGCGATGTTTGTAGTTGAAGCTGAAGGTACTTGCATGCTCCAGCAACAGATACCTGTTGAGTCCGAGGAGGAACAACTTGAGGTACTTGTTACTTTATAGTCAGAGATGATGTGTCGGAGTAGACAGAGTTAAGCTCAGTTTTCTCTATGTCTTTGGAAGGTGACCAGAAAAATCTCTTTCCATAAAAATGGAACAATGTCGATATAATATTTTGCGCAAACACCTGAGGTGAAATTTGTAGTAAACAGATTTTTTTGGTATAAAGGACCCCCCAAATATGGATACTGATTACATTGTATGTTAAAGGAATTAATTTTCTACATAGAGGAATGAGTGTTATCCACTTTCTTGGTGTCAGGGACCTACAAAATGACGTTTGCTGCTGCAAAATGACAGTTTTTCACTCCAACATTACATACACATGAGAAAGTAAAAAGTCATAGTTTCTTTATAAAGGCAAACCTGAAGCCTCTATTTCTTTGTAATCCAAACATGATGTTACTTTCCTCTCTCAAATGTTCCATAAGCATGTATGCCCTAGCAGTACTACACCTTTTTCTGGTCACAAAGTCATTTCTTCAGTGTACAATTCTCTTCGTCATCCTCAAATTGTCTCCCATGAATGGCATTTGTCAATGGCCCAAACAAGTGAAAGTCCGAGAGAGCTAGGTCAGGGTTGGTGCCAATCCATCGATTGACGTTTTGTTTCGAGCTCAAAATGATGAACCCAGGTTTCTTCACCTAATACAACCCGGAACAAGAAAGCTTCCCCCTCAACTTCAAAACATTGCAACATCTCAAAAAAATATCCTGAGACTTTTGTGTTCCTCGGTATGAACCCATCATGAAAACTTTTTTGCATAATCAAGAGCACTGGTGATTGCACCCTCATTTCCTTTGCCAATTGACAGATTCCACAGTAACTGCTGAGTCGTTCTGCATTGGTCCTTGCGAATAAGCGTATCAGCACGCTGAATCTTGTTAGGTGTTACTGCCATGGGTGGCCTTCCCAACCCCTGCAAATTTTCAAGCTCTGCTTCACCACTTTCACGTGTCCTCACCTTCTGTGCCCACGACTAACCTTACTTCTGTCAACTGGTAATACTCCACAAACTGCACATAAACATTTGTGAAGGTTTCCAACCATTCCTTGCTTTGCAGTGAGAAATTGAAATGAATTGAAAATTGGTGAGAGTTATCAGCCATATTTTCATTTTATTCTAGGACCTAGACGAGCAGAAGGAAAATGTTCTTGCTCCAGATAGAGGAGTTTCACCTTTAGAACAGGTAGAGTTCAGAAGTTTTATACTTTTGTCATTATTATTATTGCTATTATTATTATTTTTATTGGTATTAATCATTGTCATCTTCAATTCATTTAATCGTTTCAGTAGTGAGACACTGAATGAATTTTGCTCTCATAAAGGCCCAACAATGGCCATTAGCTTTCAGTCGTTCAGTGGTTGGTAAATGACAGGTCTGTCATATGAAGGATGAATGTAATACTTAAATACCACTTAATAGGAAGAAAACCTCTGAGATAGAATATGATTTTAAAATTATAATTGAGATAGCGAAAAATGTATATGACCAGGCAGTGTAGGGAAGAAAATAGACAGACATTCTATTATTCTTTTTAATTTTTACTAACTTCTTTGTGCTTCCTTAATTGCCTAGCACAGAACTCGCCATACAGCTCTCCTCAGTTCTCTTCTGCTGTAATAGTACCAATACTTCATTCGAATGTTCACTGGTTTATAACACATTACAGATCATTTTCTAATATGTTCCTTTTGGTCATTTGTATGCAACTTACCATTTGTCTGTCTTCCAATCTCTGTGCCAATCCCAATCCTATTCATTCATATCTTCAGCCATTCTTTTCATATAATGTACACTTGAAAATACATTAAATTAGTGTTTTTAGTTTTAATTACTCCTCGCATTTCAAAATATATACTCAAGTATTTCTTTTACTTATTTATTAATTCCTTTATTGACCCGAATATGCATCTCTATGTTTTTCATGGCTCACTTGTTTTCTTTTGAATTTTTATAAATATTTTCTCAATTCTCAAAGGCTTATCTCATTGTTAGAATTTACACAATGGATTTACTCAGTATATAATATTAGTGTTAGTATTTACATAGTGGATTTAAGCTAAGATGGATATTCGTTAATTTAGTACCTTAAATGCTTCCCTTTATAACTATAACAATTGATGCTGCAAATAACTATCATAGGAGTCATATAGTTATAAATTATTGTAATTTGACTACTGTGTTCAAAATTATGTACGAAAATAATAATTGATATAAACCATAGAACAATATTATTTTGGTAAGACGCTCAACCTCCTTGCTCCTCTGGCCTGTCAGGCCTTGACATGTTAAGTATTGGCATTGAAGAGAGGTAGCAGGGATTAGTTCATACAGGAAGTGTTTTGGAGATTGATGACCAACATTGGTTATCTAGGCTCTAAAATCTCCAATTTAGGCACCTAAAGTAGGCCTTTAAATGGCAAAAACTTTATGATTTTTTAAATACACAATATAAATGGACATGGAAATAGACTACCTTAAATAAAAGATGCTGTGATGCAGGATATGCTGCCTCCTTGGCCTCTGAGTCTGCTGGCTGGTGCTTTGGAAGCAGAGGAGGAGAAGGAGATGATGGAGCAGAAACTGGTGAGTGCTCTACTGATCATTTATCATAGCTAGACATTGGATTTTTAGAAAAATTTCCTTTTTTATTTTAATGAATAGGAAACCGATTTTCATGTAAATACATATGTGTGTGTGTGTGTATATATATATAAATTGCATCTACGTTCTTCTCATATTTCCTACAGCCTGTTGATTGAAATCTAATAAACATTCTTTAAAGAACATAGTTTAATGCACTTCCTGCACCCCAATGAGAAATATGCCCTCCTGTGTTAGGATGCAGAATTTCAAACATATTCATAAAATCCTGCCCTCCTGTTCTTAGCAGGTTTATTCTTCCCATAACTGAGGTGTATGATATATCATGGGTGGTAGCAATATTCCTCCCCCACTAAAATGTGAGATCCGGCACCGGGCTGTATATTTCAGCTTACAGATTTTTTCCCCCTACCACCCAACAGGGACAACAAGTGCCCGCAATCGTTGGTATCTCCAATGAATTCAGTTGTTGCTGTTTTCCACTTACCCAGCGTCACTGTTAGTTCACTTCTCTTTTGAGGTATTTAAAAATGAACACAAAGTTTCAACACGAAAATATAGTTCTTGTACACAAATCAACCGGCAAACTATTACCGATATATTCGATTCTTACAATGTTGATGTACTGTCGAAACATCCATTGCACAGCTATCACTCGGTCACCAGTTTTGAAATGTGCTTCAATCACAAAAGCGTGATGCGTCGGGCTTTGTAAATGTTTTATTTATGTTTTGTAAATCGCATCTTAGCACCTTACTTTGTGATGCACTTTGACAAAAGAAACTGTCCATTATTTTCACCAGTATTCTAGGTAGAATTGCCTCACAAACAGAAATTACAAGCACTCGGATTGGGGTGGTCTGGCCAAGATACATCCCCCAAAATCAAGATAATTCTGAACACCATCCTGTTTCAAGTGGTATGCGCAGTTGCCCCATTTTGCTGAAAATAAACTGAAGACAAGTCGATGCCTGTTTCTGTAATTCAGGAGCCAGGAGCATTGTCAGTAGGCCTCTGTAATGTCCCAAAGTGACTCCGACTGTGTTTCCATGATGATCCTCAAAAAAGTATGATCCAGTAAACGTGGAAGCTGAAACTACACCGAACATCTTTGCACTATGGAGTGTGTTTTTGTGGAGTTCCTGTGGATTCACATTACTTCAGTACAGCATGATTTGTTTGATGACATGGCTGGTGAGTTTGAGTGTGCCTCGTCGTACAGTCGGGAAAAATGTCCCTGATCTCACCTATTAGGTTGATATATGGTCTGCACTGAATTGTTTTCAGAAGGCATTGTCATGCTCAAATAACTTGTATTTTATACCGATGATAAATTTGCTGTGGAGATTGTGGCATTCCCTTTCTGTCTGACAAGTGTAAAACTGCAGCATGTTTGTTTATTCAACCTCTAGGAATGAAACCTCTTGATATTTTCTGGTGTCTGCACAGTCCTCAGCTTTCCTGGTAGCTTCTTATTCGTGTAGGGGTGAGATCTTTATGACATCACCAGGTTTCACGCGAAGTTTGTTAACATCAGGTATACATTCACCCATACAAATGCTTGAATATCCACAAAAAACCCATGCCTGGTGTGGCATTTGAACTCTTAAATCTTCAAGCTAAGTGATTCCACTCCATCCTTTATAACCTTGCCTTCCCATGTTAGTAAATACAAGAAGTATTTTGCATTAACTAATTGATAATTTGTCTGCTGCAGGTGCTGGAGCCACGCTTTATGCAGAATGCCTTTATGTACATGAAAGGGCGGCCATCAGATGATTTTGTTGAAACAGAGGAGGAACCTCCAGAGGTAAGGTATCTTCAACAGATAGGGCAACTGTGCATCTCGTACAATATCTGGTCAAAAAAACTATTTGCAGGAATAATAAATATCTATCTACCTGTTTATTTAATTTTGCTTCAAATAAAGGCAATTTTCCCCCCTATAAAACAGCTCTTCTTTTTAAAAAAAAAAATTTAAAAAAATAATAATAATAAAAGATATAACAGGCTAAGGAGCCCAATACGTATATGAAAACTGTTCATATTAGAAACTCCAGTACAGACATTGAATACCAAATGCAAAGTAAAAGACAATATAGTAATGACAGTTCTAAAATTAAGAAACATGAAATTAATTTTGCAATAATTATGTAAACGATATTTAATAGTTTTAGAAAAGAAGTATAGATTAAAATACAAATCACCACATGTTATCTTATCATTTGTAATAATAGTGGGTCTTGGAATCGTGGAAACATACATAAATTGAGATCGACAAAAATTTCTTGAAGTAAATTATCATTTCTAATATTACATGAACTTGAATATTCAGCAAATAGATTCCTCAATGCAGCACATTAATCATCCCGGTAACAAGTTAATACATAAAGAGTACATCATTTGTCAATCTCACAGATTCCAATGATAGAATATTCAGTTATTTAGCAATTTCCAAGTAATTACGACTATATCTAGGATTTTCAAGATTAGCCTTATTCACCGCCTATGAGAAAAATATGTGCTGAACCCTTTCAATTCTTTTAATTTGATAGTTAATGTCTCCTAAGACCATACTGAAGAACAATGCAAAAGTTTAGATTTAACTAAAGGGTTGTATAATATTGAGAATATTCAATAAATTTAGATTTTTGTCTTTTGACAAAACACAATAGCTTTAAAGAAATATTTATCACATCAATGTATTGATCAACAATAAATTTCCAAAACCTTAATTTCAGAAACACACTCCAATTTTGATCCATCAATAGTAGAGCTTGTTCGGCGGTAGTTGTGTCCTTGAGCTTTTGAGACTCGGAGGACGGAGAGTCTCAAAAGCTCAAGGACACAACTAATATAGACACACACACCAGTACACATACATACACATACACCACTAATATAGACACACACACACACCAGATATATACATATACATATATAAATATTATGTTTATTTTAAAATCGAGTCTTGAATGTGAGATGTGTATGGGTATCGTTGCATATGTTTCCGGCTCCTGTGTTGTAGGGTAGAGAGCAGTGTTCGAGAGCATTTCGTGGTTCTGTGCTTTGCTTTTTATATATTTTCTTTATGGTCACTGGGTCACTGTTGTGAACACTGAAATGTCAGAGTGGGCGTTTATTAAGTCACATTTTAGTTTTAGAGCATAGTACTAAATATTGATAGTCAGGATATTATAATTATAAATAAACTATCCTCATCACTACAAAAATGTATTAGCCATTCACTGTGAAACGTCCATAAAAGGTATTTAAACGTACCCTGAAAAATCATTTTTCGTTCTATTTACATTCGTGGCAGTTTTGTTTTTACTGAATATGAGAGCATGTTCCACGTACATAATTAAATTTCAATATTTCCCAATATATAAATTTTCTCCCATTGTTTTTGAATTAATATTAATAATCATTAATATTGCACTGAAGTTTAAAGTTCAATGAAACATGTATTAAACAATAACTCTAGGTTCTATAAAAAGATATCTTTTAGAGGGTTGGTTGCTTAATAAAAGGAGTAGATTTTTTAAATAATAATAATAATAATTATTATTATTATTATTATCATCAGACTTCAGTTGTTTAGAAAAGTGCCTCTTTTATTCAAATGATCATATTTAAAGGCTTTTAGTAAATGTGCTTGAATTATGAAAAATTAAACACTTTTACAAAGTTTTATTTTACCTATTTCAATGTAAATGCCTTTTTGGACAATGTTAAAAAAATAATTTAAATCTGTTGAATATCTTGTCTTGAAAAAAAATAAACTATTCGATCATTTGCATTTTTAGTATTTTTAAAAGTTGAATACTGGTAACGAACCTCATTTTATTGTGAAGTCTCAATATATCATTTGGGCATGCATGGCATGTTCTATATCTTAGGGGTCTCAAAATGCCACATGTTGGGGCTTGGTGAGCAGCCATTGTACCATATCACTGGCCACAATATATAATTACGTTATTGCCAGATTGCCATGAGTCTCCCATTTCCTCAAGCAATGAAGCCCAGTCACAGGACATGTTGCCCTAATACTGTTACAGCATCACCAATTTTAATTTTAACTACTGAAAATTTGGTGTAATACTCTTACAATTTTACTGAATGCAATATCTTAAAAGGGGTAAATTAGGAAAATAAGCATTAAGGGTCTTGTCAGTTGTCAGAGAGAGGGTTGTGTTAACAGCAGTGACTTTCACAAACAACATAGGGGTTTCAGTGTCTGTTCCAAGAAAAAATTACTATTGAAGAGAAAGGTGATCTTTTGTTTCATTGAAATATGAACAATAATTGTTGTTCTTTGTGATAGAGCTGATTTTAAAAGTGACCATTCTGCCTGTTCTAGTTTCATATCTTTCATATCTTCTCTTTGTACTTCTGTTTCATTGTTTTTATTTTCTTCCTTTCTTTCTTTCTTTTTTTCTGTCTTTTCTTAACTTGGTTGGTGGTAATTGTCTTATATCTAATTATGAATTATTAGAATTTTTTAAAATGAAATGTAGACTTTTATGTGAATGTTGGTCCATATTTTTTTGCAGGTTGCTTGCCATTGAGAAATATAGTAGTAGTCATTAAAGAATAGTGACTAAATTCACTACTTTATTTTGGGTGCTTTGAAGTGATGAGCGGCCGCATAAGATGCAGAAGTGAATGGTGTGAGTTCAACAGTCAGTGTGTGATGTGTGTTTTAAACATATTTTGGCACTAAAAGGGAGATTTGAAGAGGCAATATTATGATTAGTGTAAGCAAGAATTTGAAGTCCTTGAAGATAACCATTATTTTGGCTGAGTGTGATACACCAAAGTCACAGCCAAGATTGAACTAAGAATCACTGACCCAGTAAATTTTGTAATCAAGAAAGTAGTGGAGGGTGTGTGTTTTCATGTGAGACTGGAGACTGTTGAACAGACCGAAGGGGGGGGAGGTGTTTTGGTTTCTAATGGGCTTTCCACATTGTGATCAGTAATATTTATACAAGTTTCCACAGAAAGCCAGTGTTAACAAGAAAATGAAGTTACCTAGAAGTATGCCAAGTTGGTGTCAATTTTGAAATTTTCTTTTCCCTATTATTTATAGTCAGTACCTTCTTTCAAGTTTAGTACTTGCATATTTGTTGATTTGTTTTTTTAAGGTATCTAGTTGAATTTTGTTTTGTAGGATATTGTTTCTGGGATCTAAATATGCTGGAAGTGTATTACCGTCTCCTACGGCTGTGAGGTAGATTTCTCCGGCTGTGAGGTAGATGTTAAATGAGCTGACCTCCAAGATAAAGTACTGATCATATGATCATTTGTAAATTAGGCGACTTACTGTTGATTTTAGAGGGAGAATGATGAAAATAAAAACCTGGTGATCAACCATTAATTTTGATTCTGATAGTGGCAAATTTTGGTTGGAAAGCTAAAAATTAAAACACCACTTTTACAAATAAGAAGTTAATGTATATAAAGTTTTCTACTGTATCTAAAAAGACGAGAATTCTCAAAAGATGTGATGAATATTAATAGTTGGTGGTGGTAGCTGAGAGCTATGAGATTAGTTTTCATATAAGATATAATACTTCTAAAGAAATGTGACAACACTTTTTGTGAAGAATGTTTGACAGATTTATTTGTTATATCATTAGTGTTTCAGTTTTGCAAAAACATAAATCACACAACTGATGTATATGTCCGCTTGATATAACATTTCTTGGAACTTTTGTCAAGTGTCAAACAGGGATTTGAAACGTGTGTCCTTGATGTGTTCCATCATTACATATAGGTAATGGACTGACTACACTCTTGAGCTGATGTTAGATGCATGAATTGCATAGAGTAGAAGACAACCAAAACCTGTTGTGGGATCCTTCTTATTCTTGTTTTCACCACAAAACTAAAATTTTGTTTTTGATAAGGTACCCAGAAAATTTGTTTTGTTTCTAAAGGTTTGGAATAATCTATTTTTTGACAGTCAGTGCAGTTGTACTAGTGTTAATTTTACTTGTTCATAACAGGTAAGGTGATAAGCAGGTAGACAAAAATTAGACTCATAGGTGCCTAAAAACTAAGAAATTGCCTTCATACTCATTATTTTTTTAAGGATTATATGGCAATAAATGTACTTTTGTAAACATTATTTAACAGTGTACTTGTTAAAAGGACCTACAGATGACAATAAATTTTGCACAATATTGAATTTATATCTGCTCTTCAAATCAAAACTGCTCAACCTTCTGCTTCCTAGTAACATACACTTGTGTGCAAACAAAATAAAATTCTGAGTCTGAATAATCAATTTTATTGTTTAAAACATAATATATAAATAAAACAAAATACATATTACAAAGGCTTTTCAAGTAATATAAATAACAAATCTTTGTTTTGTGTCATTCATGAAGGTATAAATTGCAAAAGCACCCAATACAATATCCATCTACTGATTTACCCAAATATAACTCGAGGTTTGAAAAATGCAAGGTCATCTATTCGCAGATGAAACCTAGTTGGTTAGGGTTTTTTCAACATTATCATTACTTATCACAAAACTCGTAAATGTTGATGTAACAATGCGTGGCAAAAACTGTAAAACTGTCAAGCTATCTACAATATGTAATTATATTTGTGGTTGTATTCTCAACATCCACCATGAATTTGTTGGGCAATTCAGACAGATATTTTTGAATGGGCCAGTAAAGAGAGAATTTCAAATAAATGGTATTGTACTAAATAAAACATATTGTGAAAATGAAGGTCAAGATTTGTTACACAATGTGGGTTCGACAAGACCATGTGGAATCTTGTTTTGATGCATAGTGAGTGCGAATCTGTTTTAAACTGTTAAAAAGAAAAGGTGCCATTAACAAGTACTGGACAGATTGAACATCTGGTGACACAGAAGGGAATGTTCGTAGATGACATCTGATGAAAGACTATGAACAATGCAAATTCAATGCGCAAAACTTTCAGAGGGGCCTGAAACGTCAGATGATGTCACAGCAAGAAAGGAGGACCAAAAAGAAAGAAACTTTGATAAACGTGATGATGATTATGATGATTTTAAGGAAAACAAAAATGATAGTTCAGCAATAAATATTAAAATTCTCATCAACAAACCAATTTCCAGACAATTTGTAATATAATTTTGTCTAAATACTAAGAATTAGTTAAAAATTTTAAAAATTCTCAGGTGGCCTCTTGAAAATTAGAGGATTGTATTATATTCCGAATCGACTTATATTCAGGTAAATGCAGTACTTACAATGACAAACAATTTTACATAAAAATGTACCTTCTTATAATACAATCTTACTCTTAAGGAATGAGGAATAACCAATATAAGGAACATTTAGTCTAATTGGTAACAAATTACAGTCTAAAGCACTGTTTCCTGCCAAAGGCTTTCAAGGCTCTGCAGAAAAAGTGTAGAGAAAAGTTTGAAAACCCAGACGTTAGTAACAGATCAATTGTCTGCTATATTAAATTTAATGAAAGTTATGACAATGAAGCAGGGAAACTTTTAAAACTATCATTGAATTGTAAATACAGTCACATCAATAAAAACGCAGAACTGTGACTTAGGCATAGGCAATGTCCATGTTTTTCACAAACCAATGGGTTAAGCAGTTGGGAACTAATGTTAAACTCCCAGAATCTTGAAATAAAAGAAAAATTCTATGTTGCTTTGAGCGCTTTAGAGGCTAGAGACCCGATTACTTACATTAAAAACACGAAAGTTTCACATTATGATTATGAGCTGTCCCACACTAAGTTACTTTGGTATTGAGGTTATTCAGCATATGGACAAAGTTTACTAATAGCACAAATCACAGTTTTTGTTGTTTGCCTTTTCAAATCTGATTTAGTTTAACCTGTTGACACTTTTAAAATTACAGATCAAAAATAATATGTCCCTAAATTTGGCTGGTTGAACACGTATAGCAATTTGCAAAGGAATGGATACAGAATAAATAAATTTCAAAAGTTGTTCTTTATAACAGATTTTTTCTTATGAATGGCATGAACTTGATCATACAATCAACATTATTCTTCCCAAATAAATTTGATTACAGTAGAAAAATGACTACAGATCCCATGCAAGAAAATTTCATTAGTTAATTCTTTTTTATCAAAGTAGCCACTTTAATGTTAGATATCCCAAAAGTACCTTGTTTGACAGACCTTTCTTTCTAGCTCTGTGTAACAACTGTATTATTCTTCAGAATTAATGTTTCTTACAATGATTTATGTATTAAGAGAGCATATACGTATCACAAACGTAAGATATTTCTTTTTAAATCAAAAACAAACTAAATCACTCATAAAATAGCAAGTTGTTTATATTTGTACCAAAGGTTACGATTATCTGCTTTTGTTTTCTCTTTGAACCTTCAGTTCCAATAAGCTCTTTCTCACCACAATATTACATTTAAGTATATAACGGAGCCGAATTCATAGATAATACTTCAATTAAGCATTTCTAACGGAAATACTGTATTTCTAATTTATTTAGTCCTAAAATGTGTGACCACTTTTTCCTAAAAGGGAGTTTGTCTGGTCCTTAAACTTTTCTCAATTCCAATCTAAATTTTTGGTTTGTTTCAGTAAATATAATTTGGTACTATGTGGCCTTACAGCCATGAATTAATTGACTGCAAGTGACTGACAGATTTTCAATAGCATAAGTCACTCATTGATACGATATATATAAGTGTATATTAAAATAACTTATTTCAACTCTTTAGGTGCACAACAAGGGTCTTAAGACAATTGGGAGGATTTAAGAAACCCATGTGGTGCATTTAAGGGTTAGGCAATTATTTATTTCTGATTTCTTAAGTCTATGAATGAGGATCTCAGAATCAAAAGAGATGTTTTACCACTAAGTTAGAAACATAAAGAGAGCATAATCTGTGTGGAACATGGATAACAGATCCACCAATTTCTTATTTTTTTGTGGCTGCCTTTACTTGAAAATTGCCATATTTTGTACTAACTCTGCTGGGTATGTCCAACATGAAAATAACTGGCAAAATATAATTTATTAAATCTAAGGAGAATACACACACACATTTATAAATTGACTACTCAAAAGACTTCAAAACTTTCATGACTTTGTAACTAAATATGGTTCTCAGACATTACACTCGACCAACTCACAATGTTACAATAATACTAATGCAGCACCGTTTCACATAGAGATCCTCACTTGTTTTGGAATTTGATAAGAATGATTCTGTTGAGCTAATCTGCACCATTTCTACCAATTACTTAATAGGTATGTCTTCATCAATTCCTTTCTAGGCTCCACATAATGCATTACGGTGGCTCCACACATTCGATATTCAACAAATAGCGAGCGACTACTCACTAAATCCTGCATAGTGTGGATGGGTTGTTTCCTATTTGCCAAGCTACAAACTTTGGGTACTTGCCCTGCCCATTGCATATTTATCTTTTGCACATATCAAAGGAAGCAAGCATTCACCAAGCACATCAGCTGCTAGGGATTGTGTAAGCTGTCACTTGCAACTTGGCAAATGCCAAATGTGTGGAGCCGCCTTAAGATGAGTGGTTTTCAAATTTAGATATCTTTTGGACCGCCTTTCAAAATCGGAAATTTTCACAAACTCCTTCAGTAATTTTATAAAATTGCAGATAAAATCGATTTGGAGAGATGTAAAACAAATAAGCACATATTTTGTTGGACTTGAAAGATACATGAATAACTTGTAATTTGTTTCCGCAGAAACAGAATGGTGAAGTCGCTGCTGTAGTAGTAAAGAATGCGATCACTGAAGGAATAAATGTGAAATCTTCATTAAAAATCAGTAAGTAGAAGAATATTCACAGATGGCAGAAGCCAAATGGGATCCACCTCTAGAACTACTACACTAGATGATACTGAACAGTCACTAAAAATTGAAGATTACAAATTAAAACATTTAAAGAAGAATGACAAAACTTAAATAAGAGTTTATCAGAGCCTCACTTTAATTATAAAAATGAGAATTTGAACTTAATTGGTCATAAACCTAATTATTTGGTCATTCCTTTAACTACATGGTAAAAATTCCTTGTCATAGTACGTATTGCATACTATTTTATCATCAAAATTCTTCTCAAACCAATATACAGTGGAACTCCATTATCTGAGGTCTGTTTCTAAGAGATAAAACAAAAAAGAATCTGCAAATAAAATTGTAATACATGTGAATTACTTGATATGCACAACATTGTATAATTGTTTTTTACATATTATCCATTTCCTCTTAAATAATTTTTCCATTAACATATGTGAACCAAGAAATATTTCTATATTTCCTAGACCTCCCTGTCCTGACATTACATGTGATAATGGAGATTCTAATGTGCTTTACAAACTTAAATTCGTAAGAGAACTTTGGTTTTTCTCAGATTATCCTTTGGTGTGAAAAAGGTTGATCAGTTCTAGACTAGGAGTGTAAACTGAACCTATTGTATAAAAACATTACCATGTAGATTTGTAGTGATAACATTTGGTCTGATTATGGTAATATGACATTCAAGTAGTAGCTATTTTTTTAACATACTCATATATGGTACGACCGATTTATGCCAATTTCTACAATATTCATATGCCAATTATCATACGATAGTATTTGTATTGCACAGGGAAGAATTATTTAATTTATTTTTGTATTTTGTGAGTAAGAAATTATCACTGGCGCATTTGCATGTTTTGGATTTAAATTACATTTCCAATTAACCAAAAATAAGAATTTAATTTATTCTCTTAATTTCAAATTTTTAGTTTTGTTTTTCTGACGGGTTAGAATTAAAATTTTACAAATAATTTTGTCTTTCTAATTTAAGATAAATTATCCAGTACTGAGGCAATTGCTTTCTGACAAAAAGGCAAATAAAAATTTCAAACTATTCTGTTGAACATATGTTAAAAGAATACATAGAAGCTTGACTAAATCATTTCCTCAGTGTGTTATCAAGAAAGACATTTAATTGCAACATTGTGAATTTTTTTCAACTAAGTTCTATAATAACAGACCCAAATGCATGTTTCGACAATAATTTTAAAGTAAAGATATGCATTTGAGTAATGTGCAAATATTCTTTTTTTGATCTTGTATCCCCTAAGATTGGATTCTAGAGATTCAAAAATCATTCAATCTGTTGACATATTTGTGAATCTAATTTTGAAATTAACAAGCAGTTTTTCTGTTTCCTTTTACTCTCATGAAATAAGTGTTCTGTAGTATTATCAGATGTACAAATTTACAATTTCAAATTTTGACTCTCGTCTATTTGTTATTGCCATTGATTAAAGGATCGTAGTTGATCTCATGGTCGATGATAAGTTCCATAACTGACAAAAAAATTAAAAACCATTGCAATATCATACCAACAGGCACAGTTTACACACAAAACAACCTAGTGTTTCATCTTTATTGCACCTTTGTGGTGTACAAGAAGAACTGACATGATGAAGCCTGCTATCTTCTCATATGCAGCAAACATTAAAGCTGCTGTAAAAACGGTTTGTAGGATCTTTGCTTCCATTCCCTTAAACAACCCAGCAAGGCCATACTTTTTCAGGATGTACATAGTCATGTCAATAAGACCTGCATCTGGACGCAAGTCTTTGTAGCTGTGGCCATGACGCAACTTTGCTTGAACTAACTGCAAGGGGTATGTAAGCACCGTGGCAAGGGCTTTTGCAGTGGCACCCAATGCAAAGTAAACAAGACCACTGATGTTCTCTGGTTTGTAAACCGAGTGAAGCCTCCGTTTCAGGGACTCGTACACCATGAACTGGATGGCCGGGTTGGAGACGAGAAGCAGCGATGGAGTCATTCCACTCCAAAGTTTGCCAATGCCTTCCACTTTGGCTACCTGATGGCAAAGGGAGGAATAAGCAAAGGTGAGATATTCCAACACTAGGAAATTAACTATATTGTTAGTTTTCAGAGTTAAAGTGATGTACCATACCTCACTTAGGACTTCCTATAGAAAGGTTGTAAATTAGAGGACCCTCCCCCCCCCACACACACACACACACACATACATACAAAAGTAAACAGACATCTGGGGACATATTTTATGCAGGAATAAGCAAGAAATACTAAAGTAACTTCACCTCAGATTATCATGTATTTTTGCCGTTCTCAACTCGTAAGATGTCAAGTTTTTTCAGATATTGAGATTAAATTCCTTTTCGGAGTCAACATAATATCTCCAAAAAAATCTTATCTCAATTGAGACATCACTTTCCGTGCAAACAAATTCTGTTCACAAGATGCTCCACATAAATGTCATCATAATTTTGAAAAGATCAACACATAGAACACAATGAACCTCACGGCCTCTAAACTATCACACAGGATTCATCCAGTTGTATATAAAAACAATTCAGCTCAAAAAATTCTTTCAAATTCATGCTTTTGTTTATTTGGTGTGTTTTTTAATTTTAATTTTGTTTTTCCTCCCAGAAGAAACCCTGATATGCTCGATATGCTAGTCCGATTCCCTAAACACAGTAGCATCTTAGAAAGAGCGCTCATGTTCCGCTTCGCAGAAAATACTGTGTTATTTTACAATCCCTATTACTTATTGCATGTCAATGTAACACTCATGTGCAGGGGCTCATAACTGGAGTATAATACTAGGTGCAGATCCATGGGGGGGGGGGGAATGAAGGAAATCTCCACCCACCATAAAAAGTTTTTAGTAACTATTAATTTAACTTGTCACGAAACTTACAAACAAAAATATTTTCGGATAATCATTAAAACAAAAATATTTGTAGCACAGCAGGAGCTGATTGTAGCCTGTGACATTTTACAAAGTCTGTAATATGACACATTTGACCAAATATTTTTAATTTCCCCTCCCAAAATTTGTCTCTGGATCCACCACTAGTAAGCTAGCCAGCTACCAGCTAGTTAGCTACACCACTGCCTTAAGAATTTAAAAAGTGTGTTAGGTCACCTTTAGCAGTCCTTCCCAAAGCCCAGAGTACTGCTGTGTTTGTTGGCCAGACAAACCCTTCATCTTTAGGCGGGTATTCACCACCCATAAAGGGTTGGTAGTAAGCACATTGATGATTCCAGCAACGGAGGCCAGAAGAAGATCTGTTCCAGCACCTTGCGTGGCTTTTTGCCCTCTGGTAGCCTGTAAAACCCATATCCACATAGCACTCTCTTCCACATATTTCTTTTAACAAACAATAATGTTAGGTTAGGTTCACTCTTCAATAAAACAGTTAATAAGATGAAATAATTATCAGGACTGGAATTTAAATAGAAAAATTATTATTAAAAAAGGGGTGTTAGAGGAGAAAGAAAGAAAAAAAAAGAAAAAACAAGCTAGAGTAAGATACATACTAAACGCATTATTTATGCCAAACTCTCAAGTTATTTAAAAAGAACTGTGTTAGTGAAAATGAACTGCCAAGAAATTTTTTAACCCCCCACGGGAATCAAAGCCTTGGACCTTATATTACTCTGACAGATGCTCTACTGACTGAGCCCTAGAGTTAAACATTGCAATGGCAATGGCAATTTTTATAATCTTGTACAATTAGTATGAAGGTTGAAGATGAATGTTAAACCTAGAGGTGATAACATGAAAACAATTGGTACAGGACTGTAAGTATATTGTAAATCATGAATGCTTGAATGCATTCAAAATTATTATTCACTCTTTTCAGATGTAATACCATTACACTGCTCTCAACTTCTTATTCTAATATCATTGCCTAATAGGCTGTAACAGTTCCATGTGTTTGACAGACAAAAGCAAATTTTGAAAGTTCGTTGGAAAGAATACAGCAGTTAATAAGAATTGATGACTGACTCTGAATTGAAGTTATAACTGCAAAGTTATAACTGCCAAATGTAATAGATTGAAGAAAAGGGATAAAAAGAATTGCCTGTACGATAAAAATGAAGCAAGGAATTACCTTCAGGCCATGGAAAGCATAAAAATAGACAAAATTTGAAGCACACAGACTCTGAAGAACTGGCACCATCCCCCGGTACAATGTGCCAAAGCCCTCTTCTGCTACCAGCTCCTTTAGCACAACAAATGTGTTCCCATTCTTGCGATGCTCGTCTAGTTGCAACCGTGACCGAACTGTGTCCAAAGGATAGAAAGTGCTCATTGCTACTACACTGCCAGCAGCTCCAGACACAGCGTGCACTAGCGTCTGGTATGAAAATAGCTTATCGGTCCCCATTGTGTTTAGCAAGTTTTATCACAGTCTGAAATCAAAATAGAATTCATTAATAGTAAGGTAATTCAAGGCCAATAGAAAAGTAAATAGGACTTTGTTGTAATTAATTTTTTAAATTTTGTTAAACATTTTCGGACTATATTATTATTTTAAAAAAGTAGCAACTCCAGACCTTTCTTTTCAGATACAAATATTTTACTTCTTTTCCTGTTGTTATGTATTAATTAATTCAGCTAATATGAGGTTAGGGTTAATCCACACTATATAAGGTACTCACTGTCTTTGAGCCGGTGGAAGATGAAAGGTAAAAAATTTACCAAAAATATTATTAAGAGTTTGCAGATGTATTACCTGCATTCTATGCTTGAAGTTCTTTATTTCAAATTAATTATTAAATTATATTATTGTGGGAAGCAAATGTAATGCTCTTATGAACAGGAAGCAACATTAATGTTTCATTTTGCCCATCTCTCACATAGTTTCTTAGCTCTCTAAAGACTTCCAATATCTTAGCTCAATAAAGAGAAAATACTGTTGTGTTTTGTGGAATACAGAAGGGTCTCACCTGCTCATTCGTGCATAAGAAAATTTGACAATGCACTTCATTAATCAAAATTGCTGTTTCAATGTATGTCCTATAAATGCTGGGGTCTAATTTCAAGTAGAAGATCTTAAAAATTTGATTTCAACATAAGAAAACAAGCAAACATCTGAAAAGCTTTCAACACACCAAAGAAAACTCAAATTTCAAATACTTTACTGGCGGAATGACAAGCAAAAATAGCCGCATCAGAACAATAATTGCTGCAAAAACATCTCTTGGTACATTACATAAGTCGGTACGGTACGATAGTATTTCTGTCAATTGAACCATGTTCCATTAACCACATCAACAACTAGAATACTCAATTGGCATTCAAGTATTCGAACCTTCAATCATCGTAAGTATAAGTGAATCTTGAAAATAGCTTACCGAATGTACAATGCGAGATGAACAAGGAAAATAGTGTGGCAGGTAATCGCGGTCTTGGGTCTTCCTGCACAGTGGCTACCGCACGCGATGGCCAGTTACTCCCACGACTTCGCCGATAATGAAGCGTCGAGTCATTCTCATTAAACACCGATCGTGGTTCTCAAGTACTTGTCACTATTGTCACAGATGATCATCCAATGGACCACACAGACCTCGCGATGCGAAGATACGACCTTCACACGCGCTGACAATTGCGAATGAACTTCGATCCGGCGAGTGAGGCGCGCCGGTGTGAACCGATAGCCGAGTGTTCTCATCATTTGCTTAAGAAAAAATTCATAGGCCGATTATGTAATAAAAATATATTGATGGTCCTCTTACTGTCGAATAATTTCATTGATTGCCTAAATGACGTCAAAAACTTCTCGACATGATTTCATGGTGTCAATTTTCGTCTTTCAATTATTTGTTATGATTTTCGTTGCCTGCTTAGTGCATGCAATACATTTTACATGGTTCTTTATTTTATTTATGTTGAAGTTGTGTATTTGCAGAAGTCGTAAAGTAGTCTTGAAAATCGAGACTGATTTCCATACAGATGTTTTTCAGAGGGGCTATTTCCTAATCGATAACTGTATATCCAAACCGTCAGGTTTGTGTGCGAATTAACCGGCTAATTAGCGAATGGCCATACTTCGGACTTTAGCCGCAACACAAATATTGCATTCAGCGATGATATGTTTAATACAGAGACGCTGCCACAGGCTATGCCGGGTTGGTAGGCTAGTGGGCCTTGAGTCACCCGCAGGTCAAGGCTTTATGGTTGATGACCATGACCGACCATGACTCTCTGTTTCAGTAGTTGCAGGCCGTGAGTATTGTGTGGGAAAGAATACCCACGACGTACGAAATAAATCTTACACCGCGAGTATTACAGTGGAAGCAAAATCGTTGTTCTGTGGAAATTCTTTGAAAGAGATTGTTAATTTTGATGCCGGAAACGACTCTAAATGATAATCGATAAAACGCGGTCACATTGTTTTACGATGAGACATCTGTTACATCATTATACAAGAAGACTATCTTTTTGCATCGTTGTGACCGTTCTGTGGGCGATGAACTTCAGTACCGGCAGCGTATAAGCGACTCTGGCCGTTATCTCGCCACGTTCTGTGGTAAATACATCATGACCTGCTCTGAAGCAATCGGGTTCCGGGGATTTGTTTACTTTCTCTCAGCCAGCAGGTTCAGCGTTGCCGCTCATCTGACTCACACGAAGTCGCGGAGGCGATAAGGTTCGGCTGAAGCGAATGTTATGAATTATGATGAACATGATATTATCCGCGCACGTTTACTTGAGCCCTCGCTTTGCTAGATGCGAGAGGAGTGGGGAGTTTGATTATTTTGACAAAAGGAATTTTACGTCGAATTTGTAGTTCCTTTTTCCATGCAAAATAGTTGTTAATACACGGGAGCGAATTTGCCTCGTCACCAGATTTTGTCTACAACTCTCATTGCTATCATTTATTCATTATGCAACTAATGTTGGGACACGAGTGAGGGTAGATATTCCGGGGCTCAAGAAAACGTGCGGATATAATATCAAGACGTGAGATGCCTGACGGTAAGAGGTAATGTTTTGAGATTTCATTTCTTTTTCTTGGGGTTCGAGTTCAGAGCTAGCTAATTTTCTACACTAGCTAGATAGTAATGCTAGAATTCAGACGCTGTCTTGAGGAGAATTCTAGCGGCCGGCTGCTTTGTCGGTAGTTTTCCGTGGCTTCTCCGATCAACACCAGACGAATGCCGGAGCAGTACCCTAACAAACAGTCCATTGTCTGCACATAATATTTCCTTCCTCTTACTTCTCCTATCCTCATCCTTTACACTTACATGTTCTACACCATGTCAGTTGGGAGCATTGGGGGAAACTCCGCAATCCAACTTGTAGGTCGCCGCCAAATCTCACCTTCCATCAGGGGAAAGAACATCCTTACCTTCCAACTACAACATGCACTATACTCTCAAGCCTGAAGAACAATTAGTTGGCACGCTCAGAAACACTAAATACTCACTCTCGAGTTACGTTCACTCTCTCAGTTTCTATGAAACTAGTAGTGTTTATATACTGCGATTTATATATCTCTGCCCCTGGCAGGTATCAGATGTTGACAGTTTCATCCAATCGGGAGCTTAAACGTCACCATAGTGACGTCACTATGGTGACGTTTGAGCTCCCGATTGGATGAAACCGTCAACAGCTGATACCTGCAAGGGGCAGAGATATATAAATCGTAGTATAGTAGCGTTCACTTCAGGGTATTAGTAGCCTGCGTAGTAGAATGCTGCGTCTCAGGATCCGAACTGAGTGGGTATAGGTTGGCGCATTGCAAATACCGGAGCTGGGGGCGTCATGAACATCCAAATAATCGCACATTTTGCCTCTCCAGAATATTTATCGGACGAGGGCAAACTAAGCGTGAAATGTACGACGATTTGCTAGCAGAGGTGGCTGGTGGGGGCGGTCTCCAGTCGTTGTCAGAGTTATTTAATTTCTCATTGATATTAAAATAAAATATGCGAAATAGTATTTCATTCAACTCACGGCCAATATAACCCCACCATTGCTGGTAAGTGTGTAACGTGCGGAAAGCTTCCGCCGTATTCTGCTGCGATTCCATTTTCCTCCCTGGGACCTGCTACTTGCAGCGAAGTATGGGCTGATTTCGCTTCCCCCACCGTTTATGTGTTTCAATATTGGGACTCGAGGGACTGCAGGGAAGGCAGTGAAAATTAAATGAGATATGTTCAGTTCTGGTGTAGGTCTATCGCGAACATTTATATCGCACTTCTTGAACAGTTAGCTTCTAAAAGTCAGTTTCTAACATTGAACAGAATTACTACTCATATTTATTCTAAACACGAACTAATAGTACTAAAACAGCATGTACTTTCTCGCCTATACTTTCACGCAAAAGTATCAAAAATTGTACATTACCTTATTTCAAAATCTATCTTTAAGGAACATACTTCAGTAAGGAAAAAAATACCTATCATCAATATTTTAGTTTCAAGAATACTCCAAAAAAAGTTTGAATTTTTGCAATTTTCGGAAAAGGAGGCTTTTCAACGAAAATGAGACCAGCACCATTCTTTGAAACGCCCTTCACACTATCCAATAATAAAATTTAATAAAAAACGATGGAATCGTTTTTTTAAAATTGAGGATGTCTTAGGGGCATCATACGAAGTACCCCCAAAAATTAAAATATCGGTTTCAAATTTAAGGGGCGTGACATCAGCCAGGTCAAATAAGAAATATAAATTTTGAAGAAAATCGGCAGAACGGTTTACCTGCTAGCGTTGTTCACAGACGGATAAGTACGTTTTGGCGTCAGATTTGTCGGTTCCAAGGGCCCACAAAACAAGGATCTGGCTACACTACGTATTCAATGTATTTTATTTCTAAATTTAGCAACTGGATATATAAACTTTTTCGTTTCCAGGGCTCTGTAATATGAGTTTTTCTGCTGAAAATTCGCAGTTATTTCTCACATTACATAACTTTCTCTCTACTCCGTAGCGAGACAGAAAAAAAACAGAACAATACAATATACAGCACCTCAACTATATCATACGCCCGCCAGAGCTTTAAAAATCACGTAAACGTCGCGCAGAACTGAGGATGAGTTTACCAGGGGCAGCCTTTCCTGCAGCCCTTCGAATCCCAATATTGAGACACAAACAGTGGCGGAAGCGAAATCAACTATGTCCATACTTCGCTGCAAACAGCAGAGACTGGCAGTTAATTCATATCAATTGAAATGAAGATGAATAAAATATACTGAAATATTACTTACATAATTGTATGCGTTGGGTCCGTGTGATATATATTCACTTCCCCGCACGTAGTTCTGGCTTTGATTTTCAGTGTTGCACAAACAATAGATTGGACATGTTTTGTACAAATAAAATTATTTTATTCCGAAAACTTCACTTCCTTGGTATTTATTGCAATAATGAAAGATCTTCTACACACATTCGTATTCAGAAGAACGCTCGCAAACTGCTGGCCACCAGCTAGCTGACTGACTTCCGCAAGACACAAAGGGACATTCATCCAGAACGGCCATCTTTTTACACAAAGAACTCATCAAATGTACGTTTTGAATCAACAAACCTAATATAAAATGGAAACAAATTCTCCAAATATTATAAACAATGCATTGAAAACCGTCACCGACTGAACTTGTTTACATTCAAGAACACGTGAAATTCATGAAATGAAGTTACAGCTAGCGGGAGACGAAGACAAAATATTTATTTATTGAGTCCCATATACAATTACAATCGTGTATGACGAATCAATATGATGTCTTGGGTGGAGAGAGTGAAGTTACATTACTGTCTAGAAGCGAAACAAAGGGCCATCTCAGCATTTGCTCAAGGGACCAGAGAAACTGAACAAGAAACCTGATCAAGACGGTATTGATCGTGATCGAGAATATTGGTATTTCCCTCAGACTGCCTTGGTCGCCGCGCAACTCTTCAAACCGCTCGACAAGACTCCCCACCCATTTGGTTGCGTCACCAAATGCCTAATATTTACCCGTGTTAAAGCTAGGATTCATAGAGTAAATGCTTGTAAATACAAAGAGTAACTTGTCAGACCAATGGCGGATGGATTGTGGGGACCCCGGTTTCTTAACAACAGCGCTGTCGAAGCAGCTGTGTCTCAGAGGATCACCTCGGCTGGGACAGATTTTTACAAGCATAGCACGCAGACTAAGGTTCATCGTTGGAGAAAATGCGTAAAAAAAGGGGGATACTATATTGAAAAATAATGTTGTGTTTAAAAATCTTTGTTTTAACACATAAAATTAGATTTTTTATTTACTGTAGTTGTTATACAAATAAATGGGATGCATTACTTTCGGAACAACCCTAACTGCCTCGTGATAAAGTAATTGCCTCGGCATCAAACAACTCAGAATCCAAATGTTTCGATAAAACTAGAGTTGCTACCTATTGATACATACTCCCCCGGAGATTTTCATGAGCGAGGGAGGGGGTAAGGTATGTTTTATTTAACATTTACACATATTTTTTTTAATTGTACAATCTTAATTTTAGTTTATAAGTTTAGAAACAATCAAATAAATTACATATCCATAGTCAACAATCTATAAAACAAGTAATAAATGATTACATTAAAAATAGAATCTCTATATTACTTTTCTGTAATATTTATTTTTAAAAACTAAACTTTTCTTCCAAGTATATTTCTCATTTGAAACGCGCTTCTTTAGTAAGCATACTAGCTTCTTATTGTTATGAATTTTGAAATTCGGGCGCAAGACATATCAAATTAGTTTGTAAAGAGTTCTGGCTTTGACTAATTCGACTCTCATACTGTTTCTCAAATCGGACCAAAGTTGCCCATAATTGAGAAAATCCGTTCTACGTAAGCCCATACTTACGGGAATGAACAAAACCCTGCTAACAATTTTGGGTAGATCTTTAAAATAATCTGACGCAGAAAAAATTTGGACCCATATAATTTGTCGTGTGGTATTGAATTTCTATTTTGAAACGAGTTTTTGTACTAGCATTTCATCGTACAAATTGTCTTCGTTAATATTTGCATTTACTATTCCCGCAACTTGTACGAGTTTGTCAAAGCAAATCTCTTCACCTTTCATAAAAACCAACATTAAAATATCATTCTAGCCATCTATATTTCTATTTACCACTCTCTTGATTCGTAGAAGTATACATAGAATATTCATGTATCTTTAGTTTTAAATGCTTGATTAGCGCCAAATTCAAATTTGTACGGTTAAATTATTGACCAACTCGGATAGAAAAAAGAATTGAAGAATTTTTCATATTATTACAATAATTAAATAATATTTAAACAAATAATATTAGTATTTACGAGATTAAACTAATTTCTAATAACTTTTGTTGTATTCAAGAACTGTGTCTATAGTGAGCCAGTAAAACATGTAGAAATATGTAAATTTATTTAATATTTTTATTTGTAATTTATAAAAAAGAGATAACACCAACAATTTTTATTTATTTCTACGAATCTCATTAAGTAAAACAATATTTAATAAAAAAATTGAAAATACAGAAAATGCGTGCGAATTCTTGAAATCTAAGAATCAGAAACATTTGAACGCGTAGTACATTCAATTGCGGTTTTATGCAATTGAAAACAGAGGCTCCATCAAATTCCCTTAACCAAAATAGAAGTATGATAATAAATGGTTGTTAATTGTAGAATACTTGTATAAAATACCTTTTTGGTATGCGACAATAATATTTTCTTTTCTATGAATCAGAGGTGATTCAACGGAAGAAAAATTCTTCCATTCGTTGTAAGTAAAATTTCATTTGAAACAATACCAAGTAAAGTGAATAAAACCTCTAACTGATCGTAACATGGTAACACTGTGTCATTGATGCTGCGACGTGGGATGTGCGCTGGGTGAGCGGCAAAATGACTTTCGTGTATTAAAACGCGCACGCTTTAAGTCCCGGAATACCAATCACCTTTGCAAACATGAATTACATTAAGAATAAATTATAGCAACGAGTGTTGTAGATAAAATCTGATAAACAGAAATATTAGCTTCCGAGAAATAGAAAATATTTTGCATCAAAAACGAACTACAAATTTGATACAAAATTATTTTGGTGAACCGAGCCAGCAACCTAACAAAGCACGATAGTAAAAGTGAAGGCCACGGTGTATTTCTTACACCATAGAGAAGGTCCATGGTGGAAATGATTTTCAATGGGCCCAAGCCCAAAGCCCAATGGGAGATCGAATAAGGCCGAAGAACGGTCGTTCACTCACTGAAGCGTCGTTCCGGTCAGAGCACATTCAACTAGTTCGCGAACGACTCGTTCCTGTGTACACAATTGAATGTTGCTTTCATAACCTTACTCGAATTGCTTACTTTGTTAACGCAGTATGATATATTTAATTTAAAATGTTACCTCAATCTTGTCTTGTAATGATGGTAATGTGGTGTAATTACGTTGTTAATTGAATGTACATACAGAAAGTTTATATGAAATGTGCGAAGAGCAAAGACAGTCTTCATAGTGAAATGTATAAATATTTTTTAAATAATGGAAAAGAAGTGTAATAATATTTCGGAACAGGTTTATAGGTAGTGGAAACGTTATAAAAACTAGTTTTTAGAGCTACAGTACAAAAACTTTAATGTATAATGCTGCATAAGTGCACAATGTTTATTTTACCAAATTTCATGAGGACCATCATACAACAAAATGCATGCACTGATCAATTGGCAGCTCTATCTGTAGATATGTAAGGCAAGTTCAATATTATCTATGAATTTTGCTGTTGTGTTTTAAGTTTTGCGGTTCTTATTTTATGGTTGTAATGTTCTTGGATCACAATGTTGGAATACGAAAATCAGATGTTTCTGGATGTTCTCCATCAAGATGGGTTACTGGTCACTGCAAAGTAAGTGTTTACATGCAGAAATCAAAAATGAAATAATATGTAGGTGCTAATGTCTTACAGAATTGAAGTATTTTGCCTCGGATTTCTGTTTATTGTGTAGTATGTTCTTTAATTAATCCATTAATTAATCAGTTTTGAAAAGCTTTCAAATAAGAATTGAAGGGAACAGAGAAAAATATTTTTACCAAAATTATCAATCGTGTATTTTCTTTTTCAACCCCCCACACAGACTCATTTAATTTTTTTCTTTCATCTTCAGTTGGTTTTAAGTAAGTGTATGAAATTCTTTGAGATGTTTTGTCATACATTTCTGTTTCATATAAATGTAGAAATTGTTGTACCATTGTAGAGCAATTATTTTTCTCTGGATACCAGTTGATTAATTTGTATGTGGAATAATTAATTTAGATTTCAGAAAAGTCATTTTTTATGTTATTATTTTGACATGAATAGTGAATTGCAAGTTATTCTTGTTTGTTTCATTCATCCATCACATTTTTATTTTATTTTGCAGGGGGCTGAGCCTTGAGACAATTTTTTTAAATCTTGTAAAAGTTTACTCAGATCCTGGAAATCTTGTTATTGTTATTGGAACAACAGGCAAAGAAGAAGAATTTTTTGTCAATCAGCTTGCTGATGAAAATGTTAAACCACTTCCTAAAGTTATCACAAATGAATATAATTCCTCTGACAGGTACTATTTTAATATCTAATTGTTATATAATTTTATGCAAATGTGTGGTAATTAAAGATATTTTAAAGAGTTTTAAGATTTCTTTCCTTGTGCAATATACTGCAAGCAATGCTAATTAAGTGTGTACTTAGCTTCGTAATTATTTTTAAATCTTTTGAAAATAATTATATAAAAAACAAGAATAGTAAAAAATAATAAATTTTTTAGAGAAAAAAATAGAGGAAAGGTATTCTGTTCCTAGACCATCTGTACCTTTCCTCCTTTTGTAAAGATGACACAATCATGCATGCATTAATTTTATTAACATTAAAAAAATTTAATTTATGGTAGTTAATATTCTCTCAGTTTTGTGGGGTTAAATATCTCAATAGAAATACTTATACTCAATAATAGATGACCATTAGCGCTGAGAGCAATGTGAAATCAGTTGTCTGGCTCTTGATGGACGTAACCCTTATTGAGTAGCTCTCATACATCGGAATAGTTGTTCTTTTGAAGTACCTGAGAATGTTGCAAGGAATTGGTGGATTCTGTTGGGAATAATTCCCTTCATGCTAAACTGCTCTTAATGAGATAGGCAGGAATGTTTCACTGAGGATGTGTAGTGACCAGTGATCAGCAAGGCACAACTTGCAAGTGTGCTGCCAATGTGGCATGTGCAGTATTTGAGCATCTGCTGGAGAGAGAGAGAGAGAGAGATCGTGAATGCTAATGGGGTTAGAGAGCAAAAATAGCATATAGAAATGCACCATCACAGGATGTTGAAGAAAGATCTGCACCTGCAGAAAATTGTATTAAAGTAGATTTCTTTTAATGAGGATCAGTAGAGTAATGAAATGAGTGGGGGCCCACCCGCAGCTCTTGTATCCGAGCCTCCTTTATAAAAGTGTATAGCAAAAACAAGTAGTGTTAGTACTTTAAATAGTAAAAATGTCCTCCAAAACTAGGTCCTCTGTCTCACATTGTGGGTTTTGCGGGCCTGAACATTATGCCACTGATGAGGATTCAAAAGATGGATGCGAGTTCAATAATGGACATGATATGCAAGATGCTCTGACCACTTAGCAGAATGGAAACAAGACAGTGACTGCATAAAAATGAATAATCTCAATTGATGAATTGTAGGCCTGGCCACACAAACTGGAACTCAAACATCTGTACACAATTTGATGACATATTGCATCACCAAGAAAGCAGAAGTTCCATCAAAATCCTTCTGTGGAGTTGATGATAGTAACTTATAAAATTGGGATGTCACTGTGTGCCACTTCATATCACGTGGGAGAATAGTGACAGCAGGAGTACCTGTTGAGACAGGTATAATGTGGTGTTGTGGAGAAACCTCCTGATCTTGTGGGTAATGCAGTTTTCTTCACATCAACACATGACCACATATTCATAAGCAAATTGTGTAAAGTGGCAAATGTAACACTGGAGATGAGAATGATAGGCACATCCACCATCCTCTCCTGACCTTCCTCCATGTTAAATTGACCTTATATCTGAGGTAAAGTTGTGGTAGGCGGTTTGCAACTCAACAGGACATTACAAAGGCTGTACAGCAACAGAAGACCAAGTGAGAGCGTAGGCTTCCGCGGCCGGAGTCAGTATTTACTAGGCTGTCCGGGTGACGCCGCGTCCATGGCGAAGGTGCCGACGTTTCGGTCGCCATTCTGCGACCTTCCTGCGGCATTACGCCCTGAGGAAGGTCGCAGAATGGCGACCGAAACGTCGGCACCTTCGCCATGGACACGGCGTCACCCGGACAGCCTAGTAAAAAACAGAAGACCAGATTCACACGTGGTGAAGCAGATGGTATTCACTTCCTTCCCCATCATTGGTACATACGTGAATGTTGCAGGAGACTGTTTTGAGAGCCTTTAGAGTAGAGTTGTAATGCTTCTGGAATGTTGTGAACTCGTATATGGTGTAATGCCTCAGGATGAATCCAGACCTGTAATTTTCAATACCTTAAAATATGTGAGAAACAGAATGTTGGGAGTGTTGTTAAATATCCATACACTTATTCCTTCATCACTGAAAAATCCAAATTGAAGACAATGAGTTTCAAAGACACAGAGAAAAAACTAGCTCAAAAAAGTGTTTGAAGCATTTTCATGTTCCTAGCTTGGAGGTGAAAGTGTTTGGGCATCCACGAGACAAGGTTCAATTTCCAGTTGAGGTGACCAACGGTTTGAACAATTTGAAGGACTGTATAATTGTTGTGGTATTAAATCAAGCTGTTTGATTTAGACAATCTATATTACCAGTGAAACAGACAAATTTTCATGGGCAAATTGTCTTTGGAAATGTTTTGAATATTTCTCTGAATCTGAATTGCAGTAAATGAGTAAATTTATAAATGCTGCAAAACTCTTAAGCCAATTTTTTACAGGAGGAAGGATTACACTCTCAAAATACACATTGTTTTATTTTGCTTTTGCTGTCTGTTCACAGAGAAATTGTGTACCTTGAAGGTGGTGTGTTATTTGTATCATCAAGAATCTTGGTGGTAGACTTATTGAAGAATAGGTTGCCAATTGAGAAGGTAACTGGATTTTTGGTGTACCGTGCACACGCAATCCTTGAATCATGTCAGGAAGCTTTTGCAGTTCGTCTTTTTCGACAGAAAAATAAAGTAAGTTTTAATACTACCTTTGTAATAAATATTATATAACCTTTGCCTATGTATAACCTTCACTAATGAAGTCAACGCATTTCTTGTAGTTTAAAAAAAAAAATTATTTTGACCTTGAGTGCAGTCAGTTTTACGGTATGCACCCAGATAGAAGATATAAACGGATTATTTCCAGCTCTATTAATAAATTCTGGTATCACCTGCTATGGTATTTATTTAAATTCAGTGAACTAGTTAAACCGTCATAAACATTCCACACTTGTATACTTTTAAATCATTGTTTTAAAAGTGAAAGCCAACTTTGAACAAGCGGGCTCTGAATTGTTTGTAGGTCTGGTACTCCATTTGAGTTAACATTCCCGTACATTTAACAAACGAAGGCTGAAGTTTTTGAGAGAAGAGGCCTTTTAAATCATGAAACCCAGCTTAACAAGTTGCCTGAAATTTTGAGACCAAGACTGTTTTATTTGGTTATGGTTCCAACAAATATAATAATGTTTTAAATGTTAAAAATAATGTTTTAATTCTCCCTGTAGAACAGTGTTGGTTTGAGTCTGTATTTGTGTTGCAAAATTTTTGTATATATTCTGAACATTGCTATATAACTATTTATAAAATTTAAAAAACACTGTTTCCACCCATTGTGGTTCCATCTAAGTGAATCTTGTGTTGCAGACGGGTTTCATCAAGGCATTTTCTTCGGCTCCTCAAGCTTTCACGAGAGGCTTCGCTCAAGTGCAGCACATAATGAAGACTCTTTTTGTTTGCAACCTATACTTGTGGCCAAGGTTTCATGCCAATGTGCGTAGCAGTTTGGATTCTCCCACGGTATGTTTTTCAAAACATCAAACTAGAGGTAATGTTCCATGTGATATGTTTGTTAAAAGCAGAAAAGTAGGCTTGGTTGTACCTGCCTATACTTACCAATTCTTTTACCAAAAGGCTATCAATTAAGAATTTCTCAGAATTATAGGAGAACTAGTGTTTCTTATATTATTTGTAACTGATAGGTAATATTATAATATTAGCTGATATTGCATGAAAATTTTGCACTTGAATGCAAATGTTTGCGGTTATTTCACATGGAGTTCACCTCATTCATTCAACATATGCTTCTGCGGAGGTACCCCACTTACAAAAATATATTATAATTGTTACACAGTCCTGATGTGTAGTCCACATTGCTACACAGTCCTTCTTGAAGAATCCAGAGGCAGACATGATTTAAAAAAGAAATCTTTACCTTTTGTATTACAAAAATTAAAATGGCTATTATGTCATCTGTTTATTGTAGTCTATCATCATGAACGCACATGCACGCGTGCGCACACGCTCATACACACACATACATACATACACGCATGCACACAGGCACACACGCACAGACAGGCAGGCAGACACGCGCACGCACGCACACACAGGCAGGCAGACAGACACGCGCACGCACATCTAATATTGAAGAACAGATTGCATTAAAAAAGTAAAATCAAATTTCAGTACTGAAGTTGTAGTGCAGTTTCAAAGAACTTTTATCTGCGAATTTACCATAGTTACCTTACTTTGCTCTATTTGAGCAAAAAATTTGGAGGCATTTTTGAGAAACATTTTTTAAGATATTTGTTGAAAATTGTCATTCAAATTTTGTAAAAAATTTAGGTGTGCTACTTATATTTTAATTTTTTTTAATAAATAAAAAATTTTAAAAAAATATACATCATTTAAGAAAAAAAAAATAAAGGTTTCATCTTCAAAAAAGCTCTGGCTTCAATTATTGCAGTAGATGGCCAAAACTTTTGTAATTTTGAAATTTCTAAGCTGTCAATGAAAATTGGACTTACTATACCATCCTCATGATCATATTTTGCTCGATTTGAGCAGCAATTAAAGGATACTGTTCAATTTCGTGGGGTCTCAAGTTCAGCGAGATTGATCAGAAAATATTCATTGGGAAAATCCTGTGTAGGTTTTAGGTGCTAATGTAGTCCACCGATGGACAGATATTTTCGAAAAATGTAAAAAAAAAAAATGTTTAAAAAAAGTAAAAAGGAAACGGATTGGTGAAATAAAGGGCAGGAAGGCAATTGGCCTAGCAATGTTTTGCACTGAAACAGTTTGAAAAAAAAAATGGATTAGGCAGAATTGAAGAAGCAACTGAAGAAGGTTTTGTGAAATCATCTAGCATTACAAACTTTCCTCCAGCATTACAAACTTATATTACTTCTACTTGAATCTTTCATTGTAATTGTGCTCTCTTCCTATTCTTAGTGAGTCTCTTTTGTGTTCTCTCCATGCAGGACTAAATGTTGCTCTTATAATGTCACGCATGACACAGTGGTACCATTTTTCCATTTTTGTTTTGCACTATATGTAATAGAGCAATGGCTTCTTTTGTCTTCATAACAATACATATTAATGAAATGCCCTGAATTACAGCTGTCTGTAACTGAACTGCATGTACAGATGACACCACAAATGAAAGAACTTCAGGCTGCTTTGTTGGACCTTATCAGTCTCTCCATAAAAGACCTCAAGATGCAGAACCCCTCTGTAAGTACTGCAGTTTGTATACGTAGGCAAAAAGACATTTTTGGCATGTCTTTGTCGTCGGACATGTCATTCACAACACTTTCAAATGACTGAAGACAGTGCTTTTTCTGTATTGATATTTAAGAAACTGTTTAAAACACATCCCTTATACTTCACAGATAAATCAATAGCTTGGACAAACTCTTCTTATAGGAAGTTATTATTAAAAATCATATCATTATTGTTTATTGTTATGACTACTACTACCACCTCTACCACCAAAAAGTACACAGATTGGTGGTTTGTGCTCTAAGCAGTACTACTAAGATTTATTATATGTTATACACTAACTCCAGAATTCCAAATTAATAGGAAAATGTAAAAAATGAATTGTGATGTACCAATTAACTTTTTAAAACTCAGTACTATAGTGCCTCTTCTCTTTTGCTTTTAAAAATTTGTTTTTGTGATTATATATCTTTCTTCCAATGTATAAGAAGTTTTTCTGGCATATCTTTCAATAAATGTACCTTGTTTTATTTAAAAATTACTAATTATGTCTTCCTGTAACTTCACATCAAATTCAAAAATGAAAATCTTGATTTTATATCTTTCTTTGGATAATTGTCAAATATACTGGAAAGTCACTCATTATTTGATGGATTTTGATAAACCCTGAGGAACTTACGTCTTCACTTCTCAGAAATATTATATTATTCGAAATTGTGATTAAAATCACATTTAATGTGAACTTAAATTTCTCACGATCTGTGCATTTTCACTTGCTGGCATTCATTCTCTCATTCTTGTTCACATACTCTTCTCTCTGTCCTTTCTCTCACTCTAAGCATAATGAGGTGCTTTGTGTCTCTTATTTTGAAACTCAGCTCAGTTGTTCACTGTAAGGAATGAACATTTTTGTCGTGGATCCAAATTTACTGATTAAAAAGGTTCTGAGAAGGACATAAAACCCTCATAAAGTGATTGAACAATATTGTCAATTTTCTTATTGAAATATAATCATAATTCTTTCATAAACTTAAATTTTAATGGAAAATTATTTTTAAACAATTAAGTATTCAAAGGAAAATTGTATTTTGTTATTGTAAGAAATATATCCACTACTAAACATTCTGAAATTCCTATCCTGTTTGTAACAGTGTGCAGCAGTGAATCAGATGATTTGAAAAAAATTAAAAGTAAATAATTAATTTTATTATGTTTTAATACAATATCATTTACATGTAATAGATTAATGTCTGTATTTGTGTATATTAGTTATTAATGAACTTTGTATGAACAATCCAATAATCTTTAATGCTATGCACATATCAACACGGAATGACTGATTATGAATTTCAATGTCATTATGAATCATTGACATTAGAATTGAAGTAAATAATATCCACATAAAAAACATCCTGTGGTAATATCTTACTTATAAGATATAGATTTGTAAGAGATTATTGGATTGTCTACACAATAGTCATTACATTAATAACACAGGCACACAGAAAAGAAGTTGCCAGACCCAGACACTTGACACATGTTTTTTCTATGCATGTCGACGTGTTGAATCTGAAACTGAAGCCAAAATTGTACCACTACCCTCCAGTAAAAAAAAAAAAATCACTGAAATTTGTAATTAAAACAATCTACTATTTCATAGAGGATTTTTGTGATTAAAAACAAAATGGAGGGTGATGACACACTTCTGGCTTCAGACTCGGATACAGCATATTGATGTACGTAGAGAAACTTGTGTCAAGTCTTTGGGTCTAACAACTTTTTTTTTATTGTGTGTGTCCCTGTACTAACAAAAGCTTTTTGTAATTTAGCCCATTGAAATTTGCTGCTTTGAAATGACCACAATTGTGTTATACATGCCCAGTAAGACTCTTGCTAAGGACACCCATCACCCTTTGCAGCATCTCTGGGGGCATTCTTTTCTATTTCTTCCGGAAAATGAAAAGAATGCCCCTTGAATTGTGAGTAGTGTTGGTAGTTTGAAGACTTTAGATTTTAGTTTGTCTCAGAACAAAGAAACTCATAATGAAACATCGAGTGAACTGACTTGCCTTGTGTTGCCCCCATATGTTGAGAAAACAAATGCACCTGTGTTGCCCCCATAATTGTGATCTGCTGGGTAAATGTCTTTGAAATTCACACTGAGCAATTATGAAACTGTTAGTGTTCTTGTAAAACATTTTCACAGCTAAGATCCATTGTTTTCCTGCCCACATCCCTTAATACTACTAAATAGTTTTAAGTAAGCAAGCTACTAGATGGCAGTAGCACTCTCCCTTTGAAAAAACAAGTATTGCAAATTCATCCTATTTACTGATGTGCCTGCATAAAAGTGTTGTTTACAACAGCCAAAATTAATGACCAATGAACAAAATAAATGGCTCTCTTAAAAAATTAAGTCATTAACCAGTCTGCCCTAAAGCGTTAGAAGAATGGTTTGTTCATTTTTGCATAAAATATATTTTTGTACCTTTTTCACAAGAAATGAATAAAGGATCAGTTCTCTAAAAGGATAAGACTGTTCAGAATTTAGAAATGTTGAGTTTGTGTTCTATTCATACTGCTCCTTCGTAGATGGATTTGGATGATGTGACTGTGGAAAATGTCATCGCACGATCATTCCATAAGCTACTACATCAGCAACTGGACCCCTCTTGGCACCAACTCAACGCTCAAACTCACAAGCTCATAGCAGATCTGCGGTCGCTTTGCTCCATGCTCAAGTGAGTAACATTCAGAAACTAGGGACCCTGTCTTTATAGTTGTTATTCAAAATTACCCAAACCAACCTCTTTAAAGTTAACTGGACAAATATATTTGGTGGTGAATTTTTTGGGTGAGCAGGTGTTGATTGTTTAAAAAAAAAATTAAACATTGTTATTTCTTGCTAGACTGAAGACTTTTAAGCCATTAATGCCCAGATGACTACATTTTAAATTTCTTACCAATTCAACCGTTACTCAGAGGATCTCTCCTATCCATATCTTCATGAGTTACAGTGGCTCATGTCTTTGTGAGCTGGTTCCAAAGCATTGATGTTTCAATTTTGTGTGTGGTGGTACTGCAATGCTGCTCTTCATTTCTATTAATATTAAGTTTTGACGGGTTTAAAAATAAATTTGATTGTATTTTTTACTGTAATTTATTAAGTTGCCTTTTAACTTTTTATGGCCATCTTGGCAAACCCTCCATCCTGGCCAGCTTCTATTACTGCTGGTTTCCAATCTCCTGTTTTCCTTTCTTTTGTTCATGTATGTACTAATTGCTAGTACATAGGACCCTCCCCCCTCCTTGGCTAGGGAAGCAACCTGTAGGCTCTCTCTCTCTCAATTTCCACAATCTCCTATATACTACGCAGGTGCCAAGGTAACTTCACAGTTCTAAATCTGTGCTAGCAAAGGTCTCATACATAACAAATAAACCTAGATTTATAGAGTAGAAAATACTAGGCTTCCCCATTTCTTTTTCTTCATGTTTTGTTAAAAAAAATGTGGAACAATATAATATAGTCCAGTCAGTATGTACATTTTACTGGGGAAAAGGTCCTAAAAAGTTTTTCTTAAAATATATTGTATGTATATTGTAAGCACTAGTTAAAACCCCAAGTTTTCAGCTTCCCAGATCCTGTGCTAACTCCGAGACACCTGAAAAACTTGAGTACCTTTTCAATGTAGGTGGTATTTCGCACCAATTTTCTTCGGGAAAATCATGAGGATCTCAATGATGCACTCGGGCATATTGCCTCAGCCTGTTATTCTAGCAACTTTTTATCACTTACCTATCTCTTGCTGACTAACTAAGTGTATTTGGCATTGTTTACTTGTGCGGGGCAGTGCATACATTTCTCACAATCTCTTTCCTCATCCAGTAACGGACGTATTCCTGACCAGTTGTTGTATTAATATAATGCTTTATTCTTGCTTGCAATCTATTGTATTTACCTGCCATATTGGCTGCATTATTGTTGGTTTGCCCCCAATAGTTTTTTATATCAATTGATATATCTCTTAAAAATGTTCATTCTAAATATTCAGAATTTGATTTGAAAATGATTTTCAATATTTCAAGAATGAAAGTGGGAGAAAGCAAACTGCAATAATTTTTATAATGAGAAAGAATTCAATAAACTATATTTTTATTTTTAGAGCTGAATTTGGAGGCCCCTTGATTCATGAGGCACAAGGTGCTTGTATCTTTTTGAAAATCTGCAACTGAGACTGATGGTTGCTTTTCTAAGTTCTCCTTCTTTGAAGAGTTGGGATGTTGATAACATTTTTGATTTTCATGCCCTTTGGTCTTATCTGGTGACTGGCGAATAATGCAGCACAATATAGCACAGAGATTTCTCTCCAGTATTCACTTTTGTGGATTTAGGATCAATATTTTGTAGCCCTGACCCTCTACTTGTTCATCAATAAAAGGCCTTCCAACACTGGGATTTGCTCTTGTTGATCGCTCTTCTCAATATTTTCTTCGCCTGTATATATTGAGCAAACAGGAGCACACCTTGAATTGAATTAAATTGAATTTGCCTTATTTTACGTGGCGAGACTCCGGCCATAAGGCCCGCTGTTCCGTCTGACCACGCAAATTTCGCTATGCTCCTTTCATCAACAATCAAAGGAGGTACTTCTTGGGCGAGGAACAGGCGATTTGAATTTAGCTCAGAGGCGTCATTTAGGCTTGAGGATCTTTTACATGCAAGTAAATCTACTAACATGGGACAGCCGGCTTTACTTCCCCTCCGAAGAAAGGTGTACGAAGGATTTTTTCGCCCTTAAAAATCCACGGCTTCGATCGNGTTTGATCTCACGAACTTGGGTACAACAACTTCGGTACGCTAACCGTTACACCATCGCCACCTTTAGGTCATAGTCTCATTTTGTGGCTCTTTCATTGGACCCTGAAGCACTTTCTCATCAGCTCCATTTTCTCTTCAGCTCACCAGTAAGGTGTTTGCTTGCCACTTCAAGGTTGTGTTTAGTGTCACCAGCCTCATGTATAACAGTTTCATTCGCAAGTCCCTGAATCCCAACACTTGGGTAGCATTGGGTTATTTCCAATGCTCTGTGTCAGAGATTTTCTACAATTTCGTGCTGGTTGATGTTTTCACCCAGTTTCCTTGCTTTTGCAAACTGAATTTCAGTACAAAAAGGAAAGTTTTTTTTCTTTCTATTTTTTAGAAACTTGCTTGTGACAGGGTTTTGAGTCCCCAAGAATGTGCAGTTGCCTACAGCATATGTTTTTACAACTAATAAGAAAACAAGGTAATAAATTTATCTGTTGTTACAGTTACTTGACCCGGTATGACAGTGTCACCTTTCATAATTTGGTATCGGGTTTCCGAACTCGTGACTACGCACTCAAATGCTCAGGCTGGTGTCTCCTGGATGCAGCTGAAACTGTGTTTGTTGTGGCTGAGAAAAGAGCAAGTGGACTCTCAGGCAGTGAAGGAGGTGTGTTTATAAGCATTTCTCAATTGCCTGAACACAAAGAAGGATAATGTGTATGGCTGTGAAACTTGTATGACATTTTAATTGTTCCCACCTAACACTGAAAATGCACGACTGTTTGCAATATGGTAAAGTTACAATTAACCCTTCAATTGCTACTGGCTAGCTGACTTATGTCATGCATCTTGCGTCATTCCTCTTGCTGCGGGACCCGTTATAAGCTAAGCTTGCTCGCACATAGATATCACCTAAGATACCTGAGTTATCAGTAAGTCCTAGCGATAGCTGAAAGTGTGCCACATGAGCGAACTCTCCAAGAGGCTCCTGGGACATTGTGGTTCTGCATACAATCTGCGTACAGAGGCTCCCAGCGACAACCTGACTGAGCGTAATAACTTATCCAGAGGCTACCATGCACAGAAATATTTTGCGTACCCTGCGTATGCGTTCACCTTGTCTAGAACAGCCAATGGGTTAACCCCCAAAGTGTCTGTCCTATGTGGGTTGTTGAATCTAGTTATGAAAATAATTTTAATTATTAAAAAAACGTTTGAAACCTTTATATGTTTTAATCAAGAGATTTCATCTATTATTAATGTATCATTAGTGATACGAGACCAGGTAAAATGCACATTTCTCCTCCAAATTCACAATTGTATTAAGTTGATTGAAGTCCAAAACTAAAATGACAAAGATATTGTCTTAGTGCATGACAAAAATTCTTTGAAGTATTAAACCTCATAATAGTTTTGTATCAAGACAGAAAATAAAATTATTTTGGAAGAGTAGAAGAGACAAATCTGAAAGACAATACTTTTCAGCTAACACACATTCAATTACACCTTTATCTATTAGTTGTTGTAGATTAATGAAACTGTTCAAATATTGATTATTTCTAATTATTATTCTATATTATTCATGGTTTTCATTATCAAAGCTTAATAATATGTTCAAGAGGTGGTATATATGTTTAAAAACAATTAAAATATTTTTTACTTACCTTATTTCTCTCAAAATATTTTGCTATTGTGCTGAGAATAGGGGTTATGATGACTGTTATTTCAGTGCTGAATCCAGAAGTCTGCCCAAAGTGGACTGTATTGACAGAAGTATTGGTGGAAATTAACAAACAGTCCAAGGAATGTGGAAGGAAAGGAGAGAAAACACTGATTCTTGTACCTGACAAGAAGACTTGTGAGCAAATTAAACAGGTACAAGTCCTACCTTATGAGTTATTAATAGTGATGAAGCATGGATGTTTTATTAATCTTTATAATTAGGTATGGCCTTTTTTTGGAGGGGGGGTGGTACTAAAAAATCTGGGTGTATAAGAATTCACTTCTTGAGGAGCACTTCCCGTCGTTGTGTATTTCTCAAATCTATGATTTTTCTAGTTGTTAACATTGGGTGCTCACAACTTGCTTCAACATCTGAGTAGAAACATGAAAACTACAGCAGCAGTTAGCAAGCATCCAGCTTCCAGACCCATAACTTTGGCAGACGACCCTGATCGGCCTGAAGAAGAAGTGACTACTATAGATGTTAAAAAAGAGCCTGAGGAGGCAGAAGAAGATATGCAGGACTTTTACATGTTGACTCAGAAGTGTGTTGAAGAACAGGAAACATCAGGAGATGCAGGGGTCTCTTCTAGCCAGTACGAAGAAGTGAAAGAGGTATTTTATTCTGCAAAAATTTCTGTGTAATGCGCAAGATACAAAGCAAAGAAAAATTTAATCTTAATCATTAGAAGCCACACGTATAAATCATGTAATATAGTTTTAAAACTTTTAATTTAAAATTAGAAGACTAAAAGTGTAAATAACATGTACAATTTGTAGTGTATAATTAATGTATACAATAAGTATAAAATTGTAAAATTACAAATCATAAAAACATGATCTCATAAAGTATAGGCAAGTCAGCTTGTTGATTACATGACTGCAGTCAGCCGCTAAGCCAACATTACAATACGTTGTGTCACCCTGTTAGGTCAATGGTTTTTTCAGTATGAGTTAAGACGTCATCTGGAGGGGACAAAATTCGCGTTTAAGATTCTTTTTAGCTGTTGTGACATCACACTCGTGTAAGGTTGTTTAGTGCTTGTTTCAAAGATAGCTCTATAGATATTTTTTCTTAATGCAATATGTCCCTCAATTTTTTATCTATTTGATTCCCTGATTTTAATAATGTTCTGCACCTTCTTGAAAATATTAGTTGTTGTTGAGTAATATCCCCAAGAGTAGAAAAAGTTAGTGTCCCGCACATTTCCACTACAGTAGAGTATATAATTCGAGTCTCGATTGTTCAAGTTTCTCAGAAATCCGAATTAAATCGACTTACCAAAAAATTAATAAAAATAAATAAATAAAAATAAATGTATTCCCGGAAAAAATCACCTAAACATATAGTATATATATACATGTATGTGTGTGTATATATATATATATATATATATATATATATATATATATATATATATATATATATATATATATATATATATACACACACACACATATATATACATATATATGTATCATATATATAATAAATAAAAATAAATGTATTCCCGGAAAAAAACACGTAAACATATTGTATTGTATTGATTCCACACCGCATGTGAGTCGCACCGAGGATCTTGCTGTGCTAGAGGTCGCCATGATGTACATAGAACAAAAGTCTGAGGCAATTCCAGCCAATAATGTGATGTTCAGAAGATGGTGTGATATTGCCACTCGTAAAATAAATAATGTACTTAAACAAAAAACAATTGACAATTACTTCTAGATGTAATTAACTTATCTTCAGCAATTAATGTAATAATATTATGCAAATACATTTTTTATTGAAATATACTTACTTTGAAATTTAAAAGTTGTGTTTATATTTCCATTTTAATAAATTAATCATTTTCAATAATTCGAATTTTCATTAATTCGAGCTTGGCCCGGTCCGGTCCACCTTGAATTACTAAGACTCTACTGTAGTTAAATTCTGAGTCATCATGCAGAGGCATCCTATGAGCAAGACTGTGAGAAATCTAAGTGAAGAACTGATGGGGAGGCAGAACGCAATCTGACTTCGCAGGCTTACTTTTCCATAAAGAAATACTTCACACACATCCCAATTAAAACTTAAGTGAGGAGCCTCCTTTAGGCATGTCTCTTCAACTGTTGGGATAATAAGTTTTTTTGTTTTTTTTAAATTCATGTTTTGAGTCATTCTATCTATAAATCCTGTATATTCTAACTATATTTATGGTGTCTAAGATCTTAACTATGTCAACCTAAAAATGGTTAAGGAATCACCACTAAAAAATTATTTCCTCATTGGTATCTTATTTATTAATGATGTTATTAATATTAATGTTATTAATATTCATATGAATCCTTCCTGAGTTTACTTATGTATTTCTTTTGGATGATTGAAGCCATAATCTGGAAATTAGAGTTTTTATAAAGTAATTCCTTTGCAGGAGAAAGTCTCCCAGTTGGAAACCGACAGTTGGCAGCCTCCAATGCTCTATATTCAGCCTTTCAAGCGCAACAATGACCCTACTGCCCTTATCAGGAGCTTGGAGGATCTTAAGCCTAAGTACGTCATTCTGTACGACATGGACATGACAGCAGTCAGGCGCCTGGAGGTGAGGTTTTTCGATGTCAACACTGAGGGAAATTTTTGTGTCTTCTGATTGCGTCAAGAGCAAAAAGTGAGATGCTGAAAATTTCAACTCTGAATGTAATGTTATCTTAAGCAATGAGATGAACAACATTCAAATTCATCTGGTTGAGTACAGCGGTACTCCTTGTAACCACATCTACACACCAACACAAACATCTGTTATCACCCCTTCCCCCTTATTACGTCTTCAATCTAATTGTAATATCACCAACATTCCCTCTACCACCAACCACATAATTACTCTCATCTTGTCGACCAGGGCTCTGTGGACATTAAAGCAGTGGGTTCACATTCACAGAGAGCATTGATGTTTCAATTTTTCTTGTGGTGATACTACAATGCTGCTCTCTATATTTCTATTAATTTTAATATATGTTTTCAAAGGTTTAAAAATTATCTGATTTTTTTTTCTTTTCTTTTTTTTCCCCTTGCTATAGTTTATTAAGTTGCCTTTTAGCTTTTTATATCCATCTCAGCGCTAGTTTCCAATATCCTGTTTTCCCTCCTTCTGTTCACTTAATTGGTAGAACACAGCACTCAACCCCTCCTTGGCTAAGGGAGCAACCTGTAGGCCCACTTCCGCATTGATTTTCACATTCTCCTATTTAGGTGCCAAGGTAACAAGCCCATTTTGGCTCTCTAGCTTGTTAGCAGGAGAATCACTATTGGTAAACATAAGTTATTGAAATTAAAACAGTATAATGTGCACATACACATGTATTTATTTTTTCCAAAATATGTAAGAAAAATTAGAAAATATGTAAAATAAAAATTCATTGTGGGGTTTAAAATTTCTCCACACAAGCATTTTTCAAGCACAGAACATTGATGAGCAGATCTTAACATGAATTGAGGAGGTCAAAAAAAAGTTCTGTTTCTACAGAAGTAATCGTACACTAGTTTCATTTGAAATATAAAATATCTTCATGGTATATATGAGGGCCCAGTGCTCTAGTGAATAGTAATACCGTGTAGCCTGTGATGAATCTCTAAGGGAGGGGTGGGGGACATCCCCCTCTCCCAATTCTATTAACGTGATGAGATGATACCTGTAAAAATATTTGTTAGTTGTGATTGATTTACATGTGGTACTTATGAAACATGAGCCAGAACATAGTTGAAATTGCTTATTTTTCATGTGTTCATCCACTCATCCTTCAACCTGACTACATGATTTTCAAGAAACAAGGGAAGGAGTAAGTTAAGTCGATTCATGAAGGTCATAGAGCGGATTGCATTGCTTATTAAGAAAGATGATTTCAGTAACATATATTGCGAACTCACTTAAGAAATGATTATTTCAGCGTGTATTATGAAATCTATAAGAAAATTATAGACAAATATGTAATTATATCAAAATATGTGAAATGAAAAATTATTCTAATTCATTCAAAATGTCTTCTAAACTAAAAAATATTATTGAATGCAGTGCTCTTGTTCCTATAAAAATATGTATTTACATGAAAATCCATTCCCTAGTTATCCCTGGTGGGATGGAAGGAAAAGGGTTCAAAGTTGCCACATGGTGGATTGAGGAAGCCCCACAATTCCACAACATCTAACAAACATTCATGCCCAAAGCGGGATTTAAAATCACAATCTTTTGAGCTGAGACTCCCCAGGTCTGCTTTAATGATTACAGCACTCTCAGTCAGGCTTTAATTAGCATGATGATCAGCTTAGTATGAACATATTGATAAAATATTTCAAAGTTTTTTCTTCAAACATCAGATAAAAAAATGTCTTTATTCTTATTAATGAGATTTAATATAATTTTTCTTCTAAAATATCATGAGTGTAAATTAATGATGTAAATGAACAGAATGTTACATTTCAACACACAAGGTTACAAACTTGTGTAAAGAGAAGAGTTGGTTTTCAGTCAGTACTCTACAATCATTGTAAAACTCAGCTACTTGTTTTCAGGTATTCAATGCCAAGCACCCAGAGATAGGTTTGCAGATATTTGTGTTGGTGTACTCGGGCACCGTGGAGGAACAGGCCTACCTCACTACACTGAGGAGGGAAAAAGAAGCTTTTGAGTTTCTCATAAATGAGAAGGCTGTAAGTATGAATGAGGAATAGCAGAAAGTCTTACATAGATTTTTACAAATAAAATTATCTTTAAATAATGTGTCCAAAATCGTTTAATGGATCTAGGATAAATGATACATTTCAGTCGTATCCTAAGTTTCTTAATATAAGTAGACTTTCCAAGTTTTTTGGTAACATGGTGCTAGCACATGTCACCAGGGATATCCTGAACTGATGGATGGAAAAAGAAGGAATCCATCTGGAAGCAAATAGTGGCATTGTGTTGCATTGTTTTCATTGAAAGAACAAACTGTCAGTTTGATATACATTATTTCTTTACAATTAGTCTTCTGCAGTTTTGACATTAAAAATATCTGAGGGACAGTGACTCAGATCAGAATATTCAGGACAAGATAATTAGAGAAGAAACAATGTTCTTCATTGATCATTACATGAGAGTTGTATGTCCAAAGAAGAACAATTCCCTTTTTGCTTTCTGATTTAAAACCACCATGGCATAGCTGAATGTGGTAATACTTTTGTGCCAAGTGCCAGGTTGAAATCATAGGTGGCAGTTTTTAATTGAGTGCAGATCCAACATCCAAAGAGCATGGAAAGCTGTTTGAGTGTATTGATTGTGAAACTGACTTTGGATGATTTGTCTGAGAGATTCAGTAATAAAACCATTAACCCGATTAAAAGTCTGACATTAAGTATTAACGTAGCCAGTCTTAAGCCATGTGGTCTTGTTAATTTCTCCCTTCTGAAATATAATAATAATAATAATAATAATAATAATAATAATAATAATAATAATAATAATAATATTAATAATATTATTAACAACAATAATAATCATCATCATCATCTAATCTGTCTAGAAAAACATTGTATACAATGAGTGCGTTAAATGAAATAATATTGTACTATGTATTTGAGTGTTTCTTTATTGTATTATATTTTTGTATTAGATGTATACTAAGTGTGAAGTATTTGCCACCAGACTTAATGTCCAAAGCAAATTAAATAAATTATCTGTAATTGCATAAAGAAAACTACCTGTCACCTTTTTAAAATATATCACCATTTTTCTGATTCATTGTTTTTTGTAGAGCATGGTAGTAGCTACAAATCAAGATGGTCGTTCAGATGACAACCCATTATTAACCAGGGACACTTCCAAACCCAGTGAAACGGTGACCAACACTCGCAAAGGAGGGTTGTCTGACGCACAGCCAAAGAAAGAATCGCGCATTATTGTTGATATGCGTGAGTTCCGCAGTGAACTTCCAGCTCTAATTTACAAGCGAGGCATTGAAATAGAGCCAATCACTCTACACGTTGGAGACTACATCTTAACACCTGAGATTTGTGTCGAGAGGAAGAGTGTGAGTGACTTGATTGGGTCACTCAATTCTGGGCGCCTCTACACCCAAGCTGTGGCAATGATGCGTCATTATGCAAAGCCAATGCTCTTGATTGAATTTGATCATAACAAACCTTTTGTTCTTCAGGTGAGAGTAGAAGTTATTTTTTCATTAACTTAACTCACGACTACATCATTCTAACATTGGGTGCAAATTGAATTTTTTAACACAGATGACTACAATTACAATTATGATTACAATTGAATTTCCTTCATAAATAATGTCTTTTCCATAGACTTTATAGTTGATTTACTACCAAAAACAATTTCCTATGGGAGGATCAAATTCACTGCATATTTTTTATTAAAGGAATCTTTGATTGAAATGTATAGCAATCCAACAACCTTTTTGCACCAATTTTAGTGCTTCATTTTTTATTTTTGCATGTAATATGAAATTTCATAATAATTCCATCGGACTTAAGAGTTTTATATTTAATATTTTAATTTGTATCTGAACAGAAATGCATGTTGTATCTTGAGAAATGAATAATATTTTTTATTTAAAAATGTATTACAGAATTTAGTATGCATGTAGTAAAGGGTGAGGAAATAATGTTAGTATAGTGTATTAAGGAATTCAAGACATTGAGGATGTAATTTTTTAATGTTGGAATGTAATTCTATAAATATGTCTCAGTCAGGGGGATTTAAGAACGTAGGATGTGCAGTTTTAAAATTATTCACAATCAAACATGTGGAAAATCTTCAACCTGCAATTTTTCTTGAAACAAAATGCTTTATCATATGCATATGCCTCTTTTTCAAAATCTTTTCATTTTATATCTCATTGATCATTGTACATCTATATTATTTTACATAGAAAAATGTATGTGGACAAGAGAAAATTAATATTTGTAATTACCTACCTGAAATATTTGAGAATAGGTGATTTATTATACTACTATTTGTTTCGGAAATTTATTTGTATTTTATGAAAAAAATAAATTTGTTTGATTCAGGGCCAGTACTATGTGAGTAAGAATGTTTCATCCAAAGATGTCTCTGCAAAACTTCAGTTGCTGACTCTACATTTTCCAAAATTACGCCTCGTCTGGTCTCCCAGCCCCTATGCTACAGCAGAACTCTTTGATGAGCTCAAGGTGAAAAATTACTTTTCAGCACTCGTGCATGGAATCAACTACTTTCATTTATTGATTAGAAATTGGCAGTTTGCGGTATGCCTACTGCAAAGTAGCTACTGTGAAGTAGTCATGGTGACATGAACCAACATGACTGCTGTATCACTCTAGTGTATCACAATAGTGAAAGATCTCAAGCAGGAGAACTTCTCCTTAAAAACTACAGCAGCAACCTCCCAAGAAAAATCAGTTACAGTGAAAGTTGCACAGCTTATTACAGTTACACTAAATCACCACATTTCATTTAAGCATACCACCAGGACAAGTTTTAAGGACGAATTTAATTTCTTGCTCCCACAAAAGTATATGATCAATGTTTTTAGAAAGGGCCGCATTATGGTCTATCGCATTGTTGATTGACTGTAATTGGTGCATGATAGGCTGGTTCTTGCGATGCACGAGTAAGAGTGGGGGGTTCTGGGAGTTGAGTTGTGGCACCATGGTAAATTGAATTGAATTGAATTAATGTGTTATTTTACGTGACAAGACTCGGGCCATTAGGCGCACTGTTCCATCTGACCACGCAAATTTCGCTATGCTCCTTTCACCAACTAGCAGAGGAAGGAGGTATTTCGTGGGCGAGAAACAGGCAGTTTTTTAATTTAGCTAAGAGGCATCATTTAGCCTTGAGGATCTTTGACATGCAAGTAAATCTACTAACTTGGGACAGCCGGCTTTACTTCCCCTCAGGAGGAAGGCATACTAAGGATTTTTTCGCCTTTAAAAATCCACCGCTTCGATCGGGTTTTAATCCGCCAACTTGGGTATACCAGTCCAATACACTAACTGTTACACCATCACTGCGAGCCACCTGTTGTTTGAGGGTTTCATGGATCAGCCTGTGCCTATTAGCTAAACTATGCATATTGTTTTATATTGTATTATACCCCACACATATGTCGTTGTTGATCATCCAATTATTTATGGGAGATCTAGAACCTCCTATTGCAAGCTTGCTGCATTTTTCTGCTGGTCTGAAAAATGGAAAGTGTTCCCGACGATATAGGCATATTACGTTAGATTTATTAATAATTCTGCAATTAAGTTTGAGAACTTGGTAGCAGAATACACTAACTCATATCATGCAAGTTTGAAATATAGGAGATGTTCGGGGCGATATAGGCATATCTCGCAAGAGTCAAAGAAAAGTTTTGATTTTACAATAATATAATGTCTAATAATGGGAGATGGTGTTAGGGTTCATATACATCTTGTTAAATATGCGGTCATCCCATTGTCTAGAAAAACTGTCAGAACACTTTTATCAAGAAATATTACCAAAAAAAGTTTATTTGTATTGAAAGATGACAAAATTAGAATTGATTTCCCTCATTTTTATAAACTGCCAGTTAGCACCTGAGCTTTACAGCAATAAACGCCTAGTTGAAGTGGCAGAGCTTCCTTTAAAATTTATCTTTAAATGATCAAAAGTTATAGAATTGAAAAGAGCCAGTTAGATCCCGAATACACAACCTCAGTTGATCAGTTATAATAAAAATACTACAAAGTAAAGTAATAACTAGACTCTCATAGTGGTACTTTTGTGAGTTTGCAATGCTTTCAGGAGAAAAATTAGGTGTCCCGTATTTATTCTAAAACTATATATGAACCCTATAAAGAGTACATTAATGATTGAGGGTTACATAAGATCCCAAGCACATTGAATACTAACTTGCATGTAGTTTGTTGTGTCTTTTTTGTTAAATGTCAGCTCCCAATCTATTATTCTCTGCTGCGAGGGCGATAGCTTGCAGCCCTTGGGAGAATGTCTTTGGGTTGGGATGATTCTGTTGTACCTTTCTCGCAAGACCCCCTTGAGCAGCAATGTCAATTACTCTCTATGATATAGCAAAGTTGCATTGCTTGTTGGTGTCTTTGATGACCATTAAATGCACTCATACATTCTCACCTTCTGTGACAGCAAGGATATCCTGAACCAGATGCTATGGCTGCTGCATCAATTGGAGCAGAACTAGAATCAGAATTGGATTCAGACAAGTTCAACACAGCAGTCCATGATTTTGTGGCAAAGTTACCAGGCGTCATCACTAAGACTCTAAAAAATGTCCTTTCCAAAGGAAAGTCCCTTGACCACCTGGTACGATGCTCGAAAGTAAGTAAAACTGTACCCAAGGAGGCCTCTCATTTTATACTCAAATTACTATCAACATACTAACACATGTTGTATCATTGTATTCCTCTTTTTATGTCCTATCTATTGCTGATGAGAATAATATATAAATTCCTTTAAAAAATCAAAGCTGATTAAATTTCTAAAAAAAAATGAAAAAAAATATTATGTGCCCCATGAATCTGCATTGTTGAGTGAAATATGCACTTTGATAGTGTTATTCATTTTTTAATCTTGTGCATGTCTTCTGTGGTAGGAACAACTGCAAGAACTAGTAGGAAACAGCCTACATGCAAATGACCTCTATTCCTCATTGCACAATGTTTTGACAGAAGATTCGCAAGCAGGCCCATCTTCACGAGGTGCTTCTTCAAAGGGCCGAGGAGGCAAGTGGCAAGGCTTTAAAAAACTAAAGTTCAAGTAATACTAAGAAGAAATAATTTATGTACAAATTTTGTAAATATGAACAAAACACTCTTTCTATAGTATTAATAATATAATCTTCAAAAGATCATGGCGAAAAATAGCTTGAGGAATCTGAGAGTTTAATGTGATTTGATGTATGAATGTTCAATGAAATAATTTATCACTGTCAATTTATATGTTAATAAAAGAAATACTGTAATTTATTTTTTAGTCTTTATAGTTGTGTTTTTCTTTTCTCATTTCCTTTTGTCCTGTGCCACGAGAGAGAGTACATGCAAAGATTGTATGCCGAAAGGTTTAGCTGGAGTTTCTGAACCTCTTTTGATTTGATTTATTTCCATCAAAAAACATTACAAATTGTAAAAGACAGGAAACCATGATATACTAATGTGGATCCTTACCTGTGCATGTTTTCTCGGGCTTCACAAGAGCTCAACAAAACTTGTCGATAGTGAAGCTACATTTATGTCCAGATGGAAACCAATGAGCCTTTTCTGCATTTGCTCTGCATCTGCAAAGGATCAGTCACAAAGAGGAACACACGGAAGATTTTAAAATACATATAGAGTGCTTGAGTAATATAGAAAAGAAGCACACTAGACAACATATTTGAAACCCCTTAGCGTTTGATTTATTAATATGTCCATTTTTCTCTTAAACAGTATGAAACCCATAGTTTTATTAATATTTTCATCATTTTATCCAAAAATCATCATTTTTACATGGCATTGGTTTTTATGAAAATAATAATTTGTAAACCACATTGTATTTCAATTACCTTTGAAAAAATATATATTCACTTAGAGAGATGAGTTCATATAAGAAGAGAACATGTGCCTGTCTTCA